TGTTCGGTTTGGCTCGCTCGGATCCGAACGCCACACGCTCTCTAGTTCCCTCTTCTTTCGCTTCAACGCCGCCAGCTCCTCAGTAAACCAAGGAGCTGGTTTAGCTCGGCTACTTGAGAGGGGACGTTCTGGAGCGATCGTGTCTATTGCCCTGGTCATCTCCCCATTCCAGAGAGCGACCAGGGCATCAACAGGATCACCAACCGCGGTGGCGGGAAAATCCCCAAGAGCCATCAGGAAACCATCCGGATCCATAAGCCTCCTAGGGCGGACCAATTTAATGGGTCCTCCACCTCTGCGGAGGTTAGGGGGTGCAGCAAGTCTAAAACTGACCAGGTGGTGGTCGGTCCATGGCAACGGAGAGATGGATAACTCCTCAACACCGCCACCTTCCTCCCATCCCTGACAGAAAACCAAGTCCAATGTATGTCCAGCACTGTGGGTGGGGCCAGATACTTGTTGGGACAGCCCCATGGTTGCCATGGTAGACATGAAGTCCTGAGCCGCTCCCGATGAGGTGGACTCGGCGTGGATATTGAAGTCCCCCAGCACAAGCAGCCGTTGGGACTCCAACACCAGGTCCGAGACCACCCCCGCTAGCTCAGTCAGGGAGTCTGTAGTGCAGCGAGGTGGACGGTACACTAACAGAATCCCTAATCTGTCCCGGTCACCCACCCTCAGGTGGACGCATTCAAAATTTGTTGACTGCGGGATGGGGGCCCTGGTCAGAAGAATGGAATCTCTATAGACCACTGCAACTCCGCCTCCCCGCCCTCCGGATCTCGGTTGGTGATGCACAGAGAAACCTGGTGGGCAAAGCTGGGTTAAATTTACACCTCCTGCTTCCTCCAACCAGGTCTCTGTGATGCACGCCAGATCTGCCCGTTCATCCAGGATTAAATCTTGGATGAAAGTTGTTTTACCGTTGACAGATCTGGCGTTCAACAGCACCACTTTCAATCCGGAGGGACCGCCATCCTGGTTACACCGACTTATCCTATCAGGAGACCGATTTGGGATTACTAAAGTTGTTCCCCGTTCCCTAGGTCGAATTAAAGGTCTCCCTTTCCCGTATCTCCCCCTCCCCACCACGACTTCTATGGGGGCTCCCCGGTTAACGGAACCCCCTCCCTCCTCCATGACGCAGTGAGCAGCCAGTGTGTCAACAAACAATGCATTATTAGCTGTTTGACATATTGTGGTTACAGAGTGCCATAAACCTGTCTTTGCCATAGATGTCTTCTGTGGGCTTATGAAAACATTTATACAAAAACAGTTTGATTCCTAACAACATTATAAAAGTCAAAGATACAATCTAGCCAGAAGTAAATATGATTGGCTCTTGATTTCAATAGGATGGTAAAGAATACACTATAGTGTTTTCCTATGAAATGAACAAGACTTCAGTGTGTTGTTTACCCTCAATCAGATTATGCCATTTTTATATGTAATAATGCACAAAACATTGTGATCAAGAACCGCTTTGAGTCTCCTTCAGGAGAGATAAAGCAGGATATAAATATAACAACAACAACAACAACAACAACATGTTTAAGCTCACATAAGGAATTTGTCAAGATTGGCATGTGCTCTACATGATCATCATCTACACATGATGTCTAGGCCCAACATTGCTGGAGAAATTATACTGTTTAGCTGGTATACACCACTTGATGTCCACCAGGAAGTAGCAGCCAGCAATAAAAGGACCAAAGCATTGACATCTCTGCCCTATCCTCTGTTCAAATATCAGCCAACATACCAATTACTTAAATCAAGAGACAACTTTCTAAGATCTATAGAGGTACTAGCAGAAACACCTCAGCAAACAAGTCCAAAAGTGGCAGATAAAAATCCAGAACCTCAGTGGCTGATAGTGGGTGAGAAGACTGGGAGACTTGGAAGGCACTGAACAGATGGTGCTCTGGCACCACAAGATGCAGAGCCAAACTTAAGAAATGGGGCCACAAAGTGGAGTCCGTGACATGCCAAGTGTGGAGAAGAGCAAACTATAGACCACTTATTACAATGCAGTCTGAGCCCCGCCACATGCACAATGGAGGACCTGCTTATAGCAACACCAGAGGCACACCAAGTGGCCAGTTTCTGGTCAAAGGAAATCAAGCATAATGCCAAGTTTTTAACATTGTGTTTATTATACATTATACCTGTATTCTCAATTTGCTTCTAACATGATAAATACATACATACATACATACAAACATACATTATAATCAAAGTGGAGTATAGGAAAACTTTAGCAGCTCTTAAAGTAAATAGAACTACTGTTTTTGTGCATCATCATAATAAGAACAGTATTATATTATGTTCTTATTATTATACTTGCTATTCATAAAACCATTTATATGAAGTTTGTCAACTATAACAATTTTAAACCAATAAGTTAGCTTTATTTTTGTTTAGATATATGACTGAAAGCATGCTGAATGATCTCAGTTTCAGGCAGAATTCTGTCCACAATGTCCAGATAAATCATCCAAAGAAAATGAAAGTAAACAAAAAAAATCTAACAATATGGATAAAGTCTCAAAAATTCAGAAATACTTAGTAATAATAAAAAGTAATTAATGGGTATGAAATCAATTAAAAATCAATTAAAAATGATCACAGTATGAATCAATGTATCTAAATAAATGTCTTGGGGATAAAGAATATTTGATGCAGAATTAAATATATTTTCCCTAGCTAACATATGATGAAAATAAATGATTGTAACTGATTTCTTTAAAATATTTCTACATATCCTTTTAAAACATTTTATATATTTCTTCTCATTTGGGGTAAAGAGATCATGAAAAAACCCAAAATATAAAATATTACAAGACAAGTTACATAAGTTTAAAACATCTACAGTAACAGCAACCAAAGGCAAACAACTAATGAGGTTCTGTGCTCCACACCATTACCTGGCAATAAATTCCATCAAATTTAATCCCCACTTAATAGACGAACATTTAAACTTGGCTTGGAAAAGGGATTAAAGGAGGGGGGAGAACCATGCCTTTGGAGGCTGCCACTACTGGTTAAAGTCCTTTCCCTATTAGTCTCACCTCTAATTGATATGGTGTTTCTAGAAAAGCCTTGGAAAATATATAAGTTGTTATGCCTTATAACAATACATACCAATGTGACCATACTATATACCATATAGACTTGAGGTAACAAATCCTATGTCAGAAATCCATCAATGACACACATACATTGTTGTATATATCCATCTGTGCCTTTCCATGAGAAAGGTGCTCAGGAAACAATTGGTATCTCTAAAAGAGACTTGTAATCCCAAAGAAAGGAGAAATTGAATATATATGTTAAAAAAATAAATGACTGCGTGTGTATCTTTACAACAGGACAATGCTAACAAAATCAATAACTGTCTGTATGTGGAGGGGGAGGCGTGTCAAATATGCATCACACCTTCACTTTCCTATGAGGAAGTTCCTGTTTATAGAATGCCAAATAAACAGAAGGACACTCCATGGTATCCTCATACCCTCTCCCATTGCTATTTAATATTATGTGGCTACTAAGCATACTTTGGTCAATATAGAGTACTTTTGACCCTGATATATTTAAATTGTTGTTTTTTTTAAATCCCACCCTTTTCAGCGTTTTTTTTTCTTTTCTTGCCTACCCTTCATTGTCACGGAGAGTGAACAAACTGGCTTGGGTCATGGTGAATGGTTTGGGTTTTCACATTTATCACCCTGAAATTACTTAAAAATGACCTGAGTTACTATGGTTGGTTGGTGTTCATCTTTCTGAATTTACAGCTATTTCTTGGTGATTTGTGGTTCTGGTAGGGAATAGGGAGCTCAGTAGACACTGGCAAATATTGGGGGGAGCAATGATTTGGTGTTCACCTACTGGCATGATTTGGTGTTGGATGAGAATTTTGAACCTCCCCCTTTTGTGGGTCAAGCAATCTGGGGGATGGGGGATTAATATCCTGTCCCTGGGGCTGGTCTCTAGGGTCTTAATCCTAGTTAGAAGTCAAAAGCAACTTTGGGGACTTATACCCCTTGATTAACCTTCCAGGATAAGAACTGGCCTTTCAGCAACCATGCAAATTGTGGATTGCTCTTAGGGGTTTGGTGTGATGCTCAAGGGGAGGTTGGGGGCTCCAGTCAAGGATGGCAGACTACTTCGTTGCTGTATCAGATCGCTCCCCCAAATAGTTTGATTATCCTCAAGAAACAGCATACATACATAACTATTCAATAAAAGTTGCCCTCAGTTCAATCCATTGCTGTTATGTGGTCTCTTTATTTATCTGGTTTGTCAGCAAATGGATCTCCACAGAGACCAATGTAAAATGCTTATGACCATTTTGAATGCAACATGCTACATCTTAATGTTGTCTAAATACCCTAAAGGCACCTACTCTGTTCTTGAAAGTTATGTGGGATCAGCTTGGATATATTTGGATAGGAGGCCGTCAATGAATTCCAGATCCTGTAGGCTATATTTCAGAGGAAGTAATTTGCAAAACTACCTCTGAGCATTCCTGCCTTAAAAAACCTTGCAGAATTTACAGAGGCAAAAATAAACATCTCCACATACAATGCCTTCTCCTACTATCTATAGATACATATTTGCTTTGAATCTCTATTTTTAAAACCAAACTATCAATACAAAGTTGGGGAGAAGATGGAATTTCTAGGCTATTTTTTAAAAAATCGCAGCAATTGACTATTGTAAAGGATTATTAGTGTTCCACCAAGATCACACCACTGGCCATGCAATCATGCAGCATGCAAAGATTCAGCACACACAGTGGCACAGAATGACAAAGAAAATCAAGGAATGCTCACACAAGTATTTGTCAAGGGTCTCCTTACCAAACAGTGATATCCTATGCCTGACAAGTACTCCAAGTTTGCAGAATAGGCTAAAGACAAGAGGCAGAAAAGATAGAAAGAGAGGGAGACAAGAAAACAAAGAAAGAAAAGTAATAGCTGATATATGAGCCAGAAACAGAAAACACAATGTTTGGCAGAAATTTTTTTAACTCTAATTAAAATGTAGAATGGCAAGTAACAATGTTTTCTACTGCAGCTCTGTAACAAATATGATTAAGTATGCATACGTTTATGATTAAAGGAAAAGAAAAACTGGTAGTAGAACTATTTTTCAAAACCATTTTTTATAAAACTCTGAAGTCATTTAATATTAGAGAGTAAAATGTTAGTTTATGAACCTCAATCATTTTTGACACACGAACAAGAGACAGTCAGAAAGAGATTGTCTGACTGAACAGAACAGACCATAATTTGAAACACTACACCAGCAGCTATATCAAAGAAGGTTTTTTAATGACTAGATAAGACAGATACTAAAAAGTCACATAAAAATGACTTTAGCAGTACCAGAGGAGCACATGGTACCAGAGGAGTAAGAGTTCACAATATGGTTTAGAACATATCCAGAGTGCATTAATCCAGAAGACAGGAGAGAACCCAAAGAGAATAGCACATAATTCTAGGCCTCACATTTACAATTAATTGAAATCTTAGCAGTTGTTTCACTTCTTCTGCCTGAAAACACATGCATATATATCAAATAAAAAGTTCACAATGCAACTAGTCAAATTAGTTTAGGATAATATTGCTACATATATGAGGTGTAGCAATTGCATTGCAAACTCCTGACATTTAGAAAGGGGAAAACAAATTTAGGTCACAGTCTTTAGGTGATTGACATCTAAAGTAAACAATGCTGTGTAGATTTTACACTTTTTAATGAACCTACTCATGTTTCATAATAATGTTTTATTTATTTATTTATTTAATACCTTGTTACCATTTCTTTTTCCTTGTTAGAGGCATGCCCACCACTGCTGAGGGGTCTGCTTGCTGAGGAGAGGAAATATAGTCGATGGTTTTTGAAATACTGATCAATTAAAGGAAGTACAACCTGAAATAGATTTACAGGACAAAAAGAAAAATATATGGATTGTTAGGTCTTTTCTGCTACTTCTCTTGTGAATTTCTTAATATACAAGCAATCTCCAAGTTATGAACAAGATAGGTTCTGTAGGCGTGTTCTTAAGTTGAATTTATTTGTAAGTTGGAACAGCTACATTTTAAAAGTATAACACCAGCCACAGCCACACACACATACACACATACACACACACACACACACACACACACACATATAAATACATACGTATATACATACATACATACATACTTGAGTATATGCCGATCTGAATATAAGCTGAGGCACCTAATTTTACCACAAAAAACTGGGAAAACTTATTGACTCGAGTATAAGCCGAGGGTTGGAAATGCAACAGTTACTGGTAAGTTGTAGGTTTTTCAGGCTGTATGGTCATATTCTAGAAGCATTCTCTCCTGACGTTTTGCCTGCATCTGTGGCAAGCATCCTCAGAGACTGCGAGATTCCTCACAATCTCTGAGGATGCTTGCCACAGATGCAGGTGAAACGTCAGGAGAGAATGCTTCTAGAACATGGCCATACAGCCTGAAAAACCTACAACAACCCAGTGATTCCAGCTATGAAAGCCTTCGACAATACATAGTTACTGGTAAATTTAAAATAAGCATAGATACCAATAACATTACATTAATTGAGCTATCAGTAGGCTAAATATTTTTGACTATTTACGTAAAACTGTAATTTAAGATAAGACTGTCCACCTCTGATTAAATCATTATTCTAACCTTCTTCAATGTGAACATTTACGTAGCCTTCCAATAATCACCATAATTTATTTTAACTAAACATTTTGGGGAAAATGCTGTGTGTATATGAATAAGGAAAAGTGGCAAAGACTGGCGCTGAGAGAGGAGGAGGAGAAGGCACATGCTGTGCCAAGAGAGGGAGGAGAGCTGGGTTGCTGTGCAGAGAGGTGAGGGTCCTGGCAGGAAGGCGTAGGGCTGGAAGAAGTCCTTCTTTCAGCCCCATGCCTTCCCACCAGGACCCTCACCCAAGTATAAGCCAAGGTGGCTTTTTCAGCCTAAAAAAGGGCTGAAAAACTGGTCTTTTATTTGAGCATATACAGTATATGCATGCATGCATGCTTTGGCTAGCATAGGGAAGGATTAAAATCCCCGTGTTGTTTGTTTTGCTGTTTGTGCTTGTGTTTAGAAGATTTCACTTCACTTTCTGTCCCTGTGAAAATTGGATTTTGAACAATTTGGCTTGTTATGGAAACAAGGATTGGTGATAAAGATTCAGTGGAGTCACCTTTTCCCCACGATAACTCTTTCAGGAGTGAATTTCTCTTCCTAAGGGTAGATTTCTCTCACTTCCTGTTGCCTCACCAGTTTGTAACGATGAGTTGTTTGTAAGTCGTACGTTTATAACTTGGGGACTGCATGTACATCTAATTTAGTGCAATTTTTATATCATGACATTTTTTTCACTAAGGGACCCAAGGGAGCTAGAGATCTTTCTTTATAGAGGTCAAGGCTAGAGAAACTTTTGGGGGTGCTATTTTCAGTGTGGTCTTTTTCAGCCCCGTCCTGCTTTTGGCCTAAAGTAACCTAGGACAATAGAGCCTTGTGAAATCACCCCAACCCTCACAGAGGGCACAAGGGACAATTTAAGTTCTAAAACTAATAATAATGCAAGGTTGGGATACATTGTGAGTCTATGTTATATGTTTATATAGTAGCCATGTCCCCTTCAAAATTTAGGTCATAAACCCTTTAACACTAAGATAAGGAAAAGACATGAGTCTTTGTTTTCTAATTTTTAATATTTAAGCATTACTTTTGATTCTGTATTTTAACCAATGATAATTGCAATAATTACATATCAAAGAGAAAGAAACACAAGAAACAAGAAACTATAGCGGTTCCACTCCATTGCCTCCATTGTTATCCTATCCAGTGACCAGATGGTCATGTCTGGTTCCTGGAACTGTGCACTTGCTGACTTTGAGCAAGTCACACACTCCCAGATCCAAAGAAAAGCAAAGGCAAGCTGCCTTTCCAAACAATTCTTACCAAAAAAAGGCCTAGTGAAAGGTTCACCATTTAGTTGCCATACATTGGAGTTAATCTGAAGGCCACAAGACGAATACAACACAATTAATAGCTGAGAATCAGAATAATATACTTTACTTTAGCAAAGAACTTGATTTCTTGTTCATAAGGAAATTGTTCTCCTTTGCCTCTACTGCCACCATCTGTATGAGAAAGCAAAAAAGATAAATGACACATGTTTAAATTAAATATTATTGTCAAATTGTAGGTCTTTGTACTGTTTCCACATATTTTAAAATTCAGCATTGCATTTGAACTGCATACTTAGTGTGCCTATTGACTGTTGTATCATGTCCATATACATATCTCAATTATTTTGAAAGCTTCATTCTTAATTTTAGCAAGTCATGCACTACAAAATAAACTCATTTTGTTCAATATACTTATTTTTCCAAACAATCCTCTTCTACCTAAGGGCCATTAAGAGCAATGCATTACACTGAGAGATTTGTTTGTTTATTTATTTATGTACTCTATTTATACCCCACCTTTCTCTACCCCAAAGGGGACTCAAGGCGGCTTACATAGAGGAAATTATTCAATGTCTTAAAACACATACAATTCCATATCTGTTAATCACACTGCACTATTCTCTGAAGGCCTGATCCCACAGCCAAGTTTTTACCTTTCTTCTGAAGGCTCAGACAGAGGGAGGGCTCATCTAATTTCACTGGAGAAGGAGCTCCATAGCTGAGGGGCCACCACTGAGATGGCCCTGTCTCTCATTCCCACCAGTCGCACCTGCGAAGGAGGCGGGACCAAGAGCAGGGCTTCCCCAGACTATCTTAATCTCCAAGATGGTTCATAGGGGGAGCTATGTTCAGACAGATACACTGGGATGATACCTCCTTAAGCACATTGTAACACAAAGATAAATTCTAGCAGTTCATCCAAGCATTTGGAGCGCAATGGTCATGGTTCAGTTCTTAATTGCTGGTTTACAGATGCTCTTTTCTTGTGCTTACTTTTTGGCCCCTAAACTATGTTGAATTTATTTAAATTGTTCAGACTTAATTGTTCAATTATGGCTATTACAAAGTATTAATAACAGTAATTTTGGTTCTTTAAAAATTCAGCATGGGCAGATAGCACAGCTTTCTAATAGCCAATTAGTTATAGTAATTAATATCAAAATGTTCTAGAAACACGATGTATGATAAGAAAAGTTTTTTTAATATTGCTTACCAAACTCCAGAATATACTGATGGGCTTCATCTACATATCGTATAAGCTGCTGAAGAAAACTGTAAGCAAATCGCTTCTCAATGGAGGGTGTATCTAGCTCAAGCTCCTTTAGACCTCTGGAATAAAAGAATACTAACATTTCCAATGAACTAAGAAGAAACTGAAGAAATTTTAAAAAGCAGAAATCATTAACACATTCAAATCAACAAAAGTTAGCTAAAACAGTAGCTATAGGCCTACTGATACAATTTTAAACGATTTTCTTTAAAACTACATCATGCAAAGTTTTTTTTTTAAAAAAAAGGTGTTCCACATATTGTTTTGATTTCTGTTTTTCTTTTCTAGTTTGTACCATGTTACTTTGGTTCAATTGACCTTCTCCCCAAACAGCTATTCTGTTCATGGAAGACTGGGCTTTAACAGACGGGAGACATAATTTGTGTAGAATTGATTACTTATGTTTGAAAAAAAGGTTGTAACTACTTGAAAGTACAGATTTTCAAATTGCAACATCCCATGCCCATATGTTTTGCTGATCTAACTGATGGGTTGTAAAATTTTGTATTGCACACAGCCATGCTATGTAACCTAATTACTAGCCAACTGCATCTATGTATGTATTAGCCGTTCAGCAGTGGAACTCTCTGCCCCGGAGTGTGGTGGAGGCTCCTTCTTTGGAAGCTTTTAAGCAGAGGCTGGATGGCCATTTGTCAGGGGTGATTTGAATGCAATATTCCTGCTTCTTGGCAGGGGGTTGGACTGGATGGCCCATGAGGTCTCTTCCAACTCTTTGATTCTATGATTCTATGATTCTAGGTAGGTGTGTGTGTATATACATACACACCCATATTAGTATGTATGTATAAATGTATATAAAATTTTGTTTGTGTGCATGTGTACTCAAATATGTTATAGATTGATTATTCATTCAATTCTCTTATTTTTGGTTTTTTGGCACTGCAGTCTTTGATGTGCTTATATTCTTTTGATCAACCCACTTTTTAAAGTTTTGATTCAGGATCAGACCATTGTCAAATAGTATGTTGACAAGCCTTGGCTTTCTACACTTTCCCTTTGCTAACTTCCCATCCTTTCTGAGGGAACCATAGTTTGCTGTTATATCCAAACTAAACTGTTGGTACTTGTTTTTAGGATTGTAAAAAAAGGCTTTGATTTTGGTTTGCAGGGCATGCACAAGCAATAGTGTCACAATGTAGGTATAATGGAAAAACCTGAATTGTTGCTAAAAATAAGATAAGAATTTCATAAAACAATTCCTGGTTACCCCTCATTCCATTTTATCTCAACTGTGATGCTGGTTAGGCAACACATACCACATGTTTGTGATCTTTTTTTCCAATCTTACACATTTTCAAAGTGATTTTTCAAAGTGAATAGTAAATTTTGAGCATATTATCTTCAAAATGTATACATACATACTTTTGGAACATACATATTTTGTGTGCATGGAGGGTGAACTGCCTCACTGATAGCAGAAATTGACTGATTTTGATGGCAAATAGAATTCTGATTTGTGTTTAGATTCAGGAGTAGCAGAATTTATAAGTGTTTTTTTATCGTATCTTTAATTTCAAACACTAAAGAAACAATTATTTTAAAATGTGTTACAGTTAAGAACAGTTATGTTAACTTCTCCTTTTTTGCTAAACTTGTTTTTCAGCATCAATTCTAAAAGAAATTAGCACTGCTTTTTTCATGAGAAAATAAATGTGTATCCTTTGACCCTAAACTAGCATTTAATAAAGGCTAAAAATCAATTAATTCCAGCATTGTTTTAGATTCACTAAAGCAACTCTGTGTGACACAGCAGACTATTGCTATGGGATTGTTGAAAAACAATATTTTTCTTCAGTGGTTTGTTTTACATTAAACCACCATTAATACACCTTGAATATTTTACTAGGACCCATCCCTCCACACGCAAAACACTGTAACACTGGATTACTTACCTAGAGACCACATATCCATTTATTTGCAGGAACTTCAGGATATCTTGAGCTTTCTCTCTATCCTTTGCTTTTTCTTTGGCCGTCAGTGTATCATAGGGAACAAGTAAGGGGTGATTTCCTCCTCCCACTATTGTGAATTAAGAAAATAACAAAAAAACTTAGAGTAAGTAACAGTTGTGTAAGAGACATTTAGGGCATGGGTATCCAGCCTGTTGGCCTCCCTGGGTCACACTGGAAGAAGAAGAATTGTATTAGGCCACACATAAAACCCACTAACACTAACAATAGTTGATGAGCAAAAAAAATCTGTGCATAATTTTTGTAATATCTGCCACCACAGATAACCACAAAGAAGTCCTTGCACAATAATCCTAATTATGTGTTGCCCAGTTTGAAGGGTCTTTTAAAATAATCAGGCAGATCTTCCATCTGGACTGTTCGCAACTGCAATATGAATTACTGATAATACTCTGATATTTGTAGATGTAACATACTCTGATTATTTCATTCTAATCCACTGTCATCTCCAATATTTGCACTCAAGAACTGCACAATCAAGTTGCAAAAATAATCATAATAAATCTCATAGTATTTAAAATAAGTGTATGATTTTGTGTTGGGTTACATCCAAAGGTATTGTTGTAGTAGAGCCTGTGAGTAACGTTACAAACAGTAGTATGGGTGCCAGAAGGGGGAAAAGGGTTACTCGGGAGCAGGAATCTGATGATGAGCAGCAGAGAAAGAGGATCCAGGACACATTTACAGCACCTACAAATATGGAGTCATTTGAGGGATTCTCTGGGGATGATGGGTCAATGAGTAAAAGAGAAGGAGGAGACACCATGGATTGGACTAAGATAAGAGATGTGCAAGCTATTTGTGAGGAGACTGGCAATCAGGGGATCCAACTGAGTCTTGGGGGGACCTAAGTCTTGACAGGAGATGGAGGACTTGGAGGGAAGGACAAGGGAATGCACGTGAAGAGCTGGGAGCAGCTGCGGGGATAATGATGGGGTGGTGGTCAGTTTAGCTTCTGATGATGATTTGTAAATAAAAGTGAGTTCAGGGGTGATGGGTCCTTGCAGAAGGCAAGGTGTTGGTGAGTGTTCGTGTGTTGGGTGCTGTGTATTGGAAAAGATTCTTGTAGACTTGTTGCTGCCTGTTTCGTGTTTGCCGTTGGTTTAGGATCTGCAGTTTGGATCTCTTGATCGTTTGCGTGTTATTGACCCAGATTGGCTTCTTGTGAATTGGACTTCTCCCTTCCTGGACCTGGACCGGCTTGGCTAAAGACGCTGCTTCTGCGGACACTGGAGCAGCGCTGTTTCGGATTTCTCCCGCTTCAACCCTGGATTTTGGCTGATGACGCTTCTCTTCCTGCGGCCCCTCCTTTTTGTTAACCATTTGTGTACTGTGCCTTTTTGTTTTGCCTCAGAGTGCTTTGTTTGATTCGTTCCTTTTGCATCCAGTTAATCTGGATTATATTCCTGTTTACCTTTTTGGACCAGGTCTGGTTGTTTCTTGAGTTTTGTCCAGTGGCACTGCATTTAAGTACCTCTGCATCCTTTTTCTTTTGTTTTAATAAACTCTGTTTTGAAGCCACTTTTGAGTCTGGCCCTTTAAGGTGTCTGTGATTCTAACAGGTATCCTGGGTCACATTCAGCCTGTGAGCTAGAAAAGTCTGATTTAAGGTATTGTGATTCCTTCAACCTGAAATATCTGCAGTATGCTTTCATAATTAATATATTATGTCTTAGCTGTAGGTCATATAAGAAAAATGGCCATTTTAAAATATCAAAACCAAAGAAAGGTGCCATAGAAAAACCTGAAAGTGGGAACCTGTGTCAATTGTGGTATTTCCCATATTTTTCAAAATGGACATGGAAATGCCTTTGCATTCCCACTGTTGCAGCCCAGGCACCTATTTGATCCCCTTTTCACCCAAATACCACACAAATGAACAAAAATAGTTAGTTAATTAAGAAAAGAGTATCTAATATAAAAACAGTTTCAAAATACACCAATGAGCTAGATTTCCAGAAGCTTAACAAAAACCAATAACCAACTCTGAACAGGAATTCTAAAAATCACTTAAGGTAAAAGCAAGAAACTAATCCAAGATTTCTCAGTTCTTGTGGGTTTTTTTTGGGCTATATGGCCATGTTCTAGAGGCATTTCTCCTGACGTTTAGCCTGCATCTATGGCAAGCATCCTCAGAGGTGACTTCACCTCTGAGGATGCTTGCCATAGATGCAGGCGAAACGTCAGGAGAAATGCCTCTAGAACATGGCCATATAGCCCGAAAAAACCCACAAGAACTGAGTGATTCCAGCCATGAAAGCCTTCGACAATACATTAATCCAAGATTTGTTGCACTTCAACTAGAATTATATCCAAAATCTTAAAAGCATGAACATGACCATAATCCAAAGGACTCATACGTGAACTAAACTATAATCCCAAAGTCTTGAAACTTGAAACAAGACGGGTAATCCAACCAGTAGGCATAGAACTTAAACAGAAAAACAATACACAGATCCAACAACGGAACTCCTAACTCAGAGCTTCCAGGACAGCCAACTTGACACATGAAAATCCAATGTTTATCTTCCCACTGAACATTGACTCTAATTCCTTAAGAATACTCCATCTTGCCCATGACATCAACCTTTATCACACCTGAGTTCCCTTTGTTTACCTTTCAGTCTCTAGAACACCGGATTTGTCTCTGTTTCACACTATCCCTTCTGATTTGTAAACACTGGGTTATCTGTAACCTTCCTGTCTCCTCCACATTTCTTTCACAGTCTATCCCTGGCTGATTCTTATGAAAATCACTGCCTGTTTTCCTGATAACAGATCTACCCAAAATATTCCCATTGTCTCAAAAAAAATACTTGCACTTTTCCCACAGAAACACCAGGCTTAACCAGAAAATCCTCATCCTCATCCTCAGAGGCTTCACAGGCCTCTATACCAAAAGTAGTTTTCTACAGCTCAAGCTATGGACAGATCAGACTACTAAAAACTTTTCACACTTTACTTCACAAAAAAATTACCTTTTGCCTCAAGTTCCATTTTCTTTTTCTTTGCCCATATGTTATGATAGTTTTCAGCCATCATCTCAGCCATAGCCTGATGAAAGGAAATGGTATAGTGCTTAATTATGTTTCACATTTTTAAAATCTATATATTTCTGCAAAAGTTGTTCCAGAAAAAAGTTAACGTCCTTTTATATTGTTTTTACATAACCACTTAATACATTAATTTTACAAATCTAAGGTTTAGATATGGTCTCAAACATATATTGGCTTAGGGTTTACATTCACACTGACCACTTAATCCAGAGTGAAACCACTATAGAAGGAAGCAGTATCACTGTGGTGACGATTACATTGCAAATCCTGGAACTGGTTCTTTGAAACAGATGGTGCTTACATGTACTGCAGAGGTTGGCTTTGGACCAGTTCCAGGATCCACAGTATCTGCAACTTGACATTCATGGAGAATGCGGGGGTTTTTTTTCCCATTCCCATCGTCCACCACAGAATATGCATGTACAGGTCAGGGAAGTACTCTTATTGTCTGTGCAGAAATTCACCTTCTACAGAGCTGATTTGCCATAAGATATGGCTTATACTAGACCACACAGGTAAGCATTAAGGGCTCTATTTTGGAGTACTACTTGGCTCTGCTTATTCCCGTTTAAAGGTTTTAAAGTGTGCTGCAGTGCACGTTCACAGCATGTGTAATATAACCACCATGTTATCACGCTGCCTTCAAGCTGCAACTCTATGATCTCAGCATGGGATTATGCCACAAAAGGAAGGAAGTACAGATGATCCAAATGTTGAATCTAAAGCCAATTCGACCAATGATATTCTGTCACTACCACAAAGAACCTTCCTTCCCCTCCCACCTGTACTGTTCCAAAATTGGCTTTGGGTGCTTTCATAGCTTTTCAGAACACATTTCGGAAATGTACAGTGGCCTGTTGAGGCTGTAAGAATGGCTCCCCCTCAGTTCTCCTGGTACAAATTATGTTTCGATTCTGGTCCCTGTGTAGAAAACTATAAAATACTGTGAAAGCACTAAAACAGTACAAGAAAAGAAAAAGAATACAGATAAATTCTATAGATTTGTTGAAACATTGGTTATGAATGAAATCTCTTTGTATATATAAGTATCATTTCTTGCTACCTAAGACAGGAGTTGAATACAGTAGGTGCTTTTCATTATTGTAGCAACAAGAAAAGCGAAACAGAAAACTCAGGATGTGCTTGCAACCAGTATGCTTAAATCAGTGACTTGATCTGATATATTTAAAAACAAAGCAAGTGTGAAAAGTGTACCAAATTTCTAAACAAAAATATTTTAAAAGTAAAGTTTGATATATTTTATTCCATACAATGTATAATTGTATAATTTCCAATATTTTAATATATATAAAGGGTAGCCACCAAGAGATAAGGAGAGAATTTAGATTATATAATGGGAAAGTAGCAAACACTTCCTTCGTTGTTGCTAATACATTACATATGATATAACTTACATGCAGTTCTCTGGAGAGGGTAACATTACTCATGTCAATTGCACGGGGACTATAGCCATGGACAGTATCTACAGAAACCTGAATAAATATTAACAGATGTTTAAAGGAAAGATGAATGATACAGAAGTTTAATGTTAGCTTACAGAGGATAAATATTATATTAATGAACCAGTAGGGAAAGGGGCAATTGCCAATGTATTCAGTTTACATATATTTTAATATTAAACTGCATAATGAGGCAGATTAATGAAACCATATACTGAAAAGAATGCATTTAAGTACAAAATTATCAGTTTTTGTACACTTTGAACTCCATTCTGTCAATTTTCCATTTACTCCAAAGAATAATTGACATGTAGAAGGATTCAAAGTAAAATGACAAACATATGGATTAGAACCAAAAGATAAAACATGCAGGTCCTTAAAACAAAGACCTTACAAATATTTTGATAGATGCTAATGATTTAACTGCATCCAGCATTAGTTATTTCAGTCATAGTGACTGTATTATTAAAGTGAAGATATTTCACTGAAAATTTATACCTGATGCCCCTTGAAGAAAGGGTTTACCTTTCACAAAAGGAAAACATAATACTTAAACATAAATACCACAGTTGTCTTTCTCATACTCTCCCCTTGCAACTATCTAAAGATTAAGAATTCAAATTTTGTCAGTGATCAAAACTATTTTTATGAAGTATTGAAATAATAATAATTTATCACAAGTGGTTACATTTCTTCTAATCTATTTAAACCTCATGTTCCAAAAATTATGTCTCTCACACAGAGAAATCATTATTGCATAGTACATACAGATCTAAACAAACAATACAGGCATTCCACTACATCGTAATCTGAAAAGTTTTAAATATTTTCCCCAAATTTCAGAAATCTGTCATGATGTTGCAAAGAAAAAATATTTCAATAAAGCTACTATTTTTAAATTTTTGAGGTGCTTTTTTATCACATCAGCTTTGGCATTGAAAAGAAATAAAAGTAATACATTGTTAATCAGTTAACCCCATTTAGGGATTTAAAAAAATTACATTAGAAAAAAACCACAAAATTCAAATTTAGGTCTAGAAATGTAAGAAATGTATGTCATGTTTTCAACCTAAAAACAGTTTGGATTACTATTTAAATTCTCATTGGGATCAGGGGAAAAAACTCAAACAAGGCATTGTTTTTGTACTAACTCTCTCCATGCAGGTTACAAATAGGAAATCTGAAATACATGTAGATAATATGATTACTGTAATACAAAATTCAGATTGTTACTTGTAATACAGGTTGAGCATCTCTTCTCTGGAATTTCAAAATCTGAAATAGTTAAGAATCTAGAATTTTCCAAATGACACATTTGTTTTTTCATGGTTCAATGTCCACAAACTTTGTTTCATGCACAAAATTATGTAAACAATTGGTCCCGAGCATTTGGATAAGGCATACTCAACCTGTACTCAGAATTACATACAGAAACAGCTTTGATGTTTCTCACTACTCTTTTTAATATGTGAAAATATAACTGCAAACAAATCCTCATGGAGATGGTATGCCAAATCTGTGCCCTAAATGAATTCTTTATCATCAATATATATAACTAGAGGCTATAAGGGATTGCTGTTCTTTATAGAAGCACAAGAAATACTAGCAACTGGACACAGGATATACCTGACTTGTCTGTGATATCCGACGTGGTCTATTGTATAAAGCCATAGTATCGCCTTCCCTTGTTCTTTCAACCCGCCATCCCCAAGCAAGCATGGTTTTCAGAGACTCTTTGATTGGCCATCTATAAATTTCTTTTTCCTAGGGAAAACACATGTGATCATCCTATTAGTCATCAGCAACTGCTGGAGAAACTACAGCCTTCAAAATGCCTTACAAGTGGCTTCCAGTAATTCACCAGGATAGCTTTCAGACATTTCATCACAGCTGACTTAACATTCAAGATTATGATAAAACAAGACATCACTCAGCAAGTGCATATTGCAGAAGTAGATCTCTGAATGAAGAGATCTAGCTTAATTTATGCACTCTTTTGAAGCAACTTCAATTGCAATCAATGCCACTGATGTAAAGCAAAACAAAAATATGTATTTAGAATTGAAAGTGCAAGGATGGATTTATGATCATCTACATGATATGTGAAGATAATCTCCATCAGGAAGACTACTCTGGAACACACTTTTTATGGGTCTTAGGCCCTGTCTTCTAGTTCTACTCAAGAGAAAAAAAGAAAGGTCTGGGATAGGGTTGTTTCTAATGTTTTCTGTTTTCTCTCTCTTTCTCGGAAGCTCCTGAAAAACTTTCTCTCAGGCTAAAAGACAGCATGTAAATTGATGGGAAATTCTCATCCCATGGGAAGAGGTTGTTCATGTTGATTTCCAAACTTTGAAAGCATTCTCTCGCATGTCTATTCTTGAGAAAAACAAACCTAGTTACTTGTTCCAATAACTGAAAAAAGAAATATTACTACAAATGAAACATTTGACACAAACTTCTTACCTTTTCTGTTAATAGTTTATATTGTTTCATTAATGGCTGCACTTTTGAAGATTCAGAGTATGTTTCACCATATATCCACCCATTTGCAAACTGACAAAGTTAAAAAAAGGAGGGATAAGTTGATCAGGAATCTTGATGTTATTTGTGCTTTGGATGCTTTCTTTGCATGCTGTCAGTATATTACACCCACCCTGCAATATACCATTCGTGTTTTGTATACTCTAATCTTTATATTTCCTATAGCAGTTATGAAATCCTACATTCTAGTCATTACATTTCACTACATGTAACTGCATGATCTTTCACTTTTAATATTACATACTAACAGCAAGCTTATATGCTATTATAGATTAATAACAACTGTATACTGCTACTCTTTGATGGACCCACACAACACAATTACAGCAGTTTCATACCATTTAAATAGTATGCAATGGGATACTGTGATTTGCAATTTCATATGGTATTGAGAACCTTCTGCAAGAGAACTTTTGTACTGAAATTCAAAGTAGGTCCCTGCAAAATTTTAAGTACTTTAATGAATTAGAAAATCCAAGGTTCTATAATACGAAGACATGGCAGTTTAACTGATATAAAAATGTTATCATTGCCTTGTTGAAGGCTTTCATGGCCAAAATCACTGGGTTGTTGTTGATTTTTCGAGCTGTACATCCATGTTCTAGAAGCATTTTTGCCTAACGTTTTGCCTGCATCTATGGCAAGGATTCTCAGAGGTGGTGAGGATGCCTGCTATAGATGCAGTTGAAATGTTGTGAGAAAATGCTTCTAGAACATGGCCGTATAGCCTAAAAAACCTACAACAATCCAATTATGATTGCAGTTTGGATATACATTATTATATAAAGAATAGCATTACCCAAACAAAAAAGGAAGATATAAGAAGGCTTGGAAGAACTTTGAAATCTGCAAAAATACAATTATTAGAAAAATCCCTAAGAAGATATTCATCCCTCAAATACTAGTTGGAGCTGGGGGCAATACTACATGATTTTATGGTTGGCCCAACTTAAGAGTAAATATTGGTCTCTAACATATTTTATCTGAAAGGCTCTGAATCCACTTATGAATGTGTTAAGCTTACTCTGTACAAATTATTCTCACTTAAGGAAGGGTTGTCAAGATATCCCATCTAAAAAACCGTCTACATCTAATGAAAATATATATTTTGATGGTGCCAAAGCAGTGGAGGTTCACCCTGGTTGCTGGTTGAAGGTATCAACCTCATGGTTTATGTATTTTCATTTTTCTATCTGACAAACAACATTTTAAAGGACAAGCATGCAAATGCTGCCATCCATATGTGTAGTGAAGAAATGCAAGTATAAACTAGACATGAGTAAATGACAAAATTGAACTTCTCATCTGATGAAATTTACAGAAGGTAAAAACATTTTTAAATGTTTTGATTAATGAAATGAAATAATTCTAGTAATGCAGCATAAACAAGATTCCATGATTTATACTGAAATGAAAAACATGTGTGGGTTGTTAAGCAATTAAGATTACTTTAAAGATGTTTTGGCATATACACGCAAAAGAGAGGCATGTGTACATCCCACGGATTACCTTTTCCATGCACCATTTGTCATGGGAATGTTCAGCATATTTGTTAATAAAGTACTCTAGTTTCTCAGGAATTGTAATGCTAGGAAAAAAGAAATGAGACAAACATTTGCCTTAATTATAATACCTTCTACATTTTAATTTTTTTTTTTAAAAAAAAAAGCACTTTTTCATATTGTAATCATTGCATTTATTTGTCAAATTCTAACATTCATGAATATTTGTATTGCATGAAAGATTTGTATCATACACTAATTCAATGATAGTGTCAAGCCCATTCTACACTGCCATATCAAATACAGATTATCTGCTTTGAACTAGATTGCATGGAAGTGTAGACACATATAATCCAGTGCAAAGTAGATAATGTGGATTATTTGATTTAATAATCTGGATTATCTTGTTGATTTAAACTTTTCTTTGATTTTAAATGTAATGTATTGCATATGTATATTGTAAACCGCTGTGAGCCTTCGGGGAGTGGCGGTATATAAAATTGATTAATAAATAATTAATAAATAATTATATGGCAGTGTGGAAGGGGCCTCAGAGGGAGGCAATGGTGACCTTTAAAAAAAACAAATCTTGCTAAGAAAATCCCATTATAGGTTGAACCTAAGATCACCATATACTGAAATAACTTGAGGGCACAAAACAACTGATTGGGTCTACATAGAAAAAATATCATGCAAGAAATGGTTATAGCTGTAAATAATTAAATATAAAAAAACTGAGAGGGCTATTTGTCTACCCCGATGAAGGAGACCAAGTTCTAGAGGCATTGCACAACATATAGGCACCCGCCCCTCTCTGTTTCTGGCATTGGAGCAGCAAATGTTGGTTTACCCTCTCACCCTACAGCAGTGTACCAAGGGGTCACTTCAGGGCCAGGTAGGAATTTCCTCCCCCCTTTAACAAAGGTTTTTCACCTATCCTACACTGCTGAGGCTAAAGGGTAATTGGTGGAGCCATTAAAATAGGCTGTCATGCAGAACAAGGGGATACAATTTACATCTCAGTGTGCACCTAAGGCACCCATTTTTGTGTGGACCAGGAATGGCAACCCCTACAAGTGAGTTCACTCAACTGAGAACAGAAATGGCCTTGGAGCTGTGAGGGAATTCTAATCTTGGGAAGTCTCTCAACTTAGGGTTTGAATACTCTATGCAGCTTCCCTAAGCAGTTGCCCTGGTTACAATTCATTGTGAGTTATGCGGGGAACTCAGGTGTCTTGCCTAAGTCAGCTGAGGAGTGGGTCTGAGATGGCCACTGCCTCGGTTTACACAACATCAAGTTCAAACCACCACTTTTAGCTGGCTGCAGCTCATGAAGAAAGTTTAAATAGGTAAAAATTTAATAAATGTTGTCCATATTCATCCCAACACAGTTGTTTGGTCTCGTTATTTCATTGATGGGTGGGCAATAGGCACAAACTCAGTCTTAATGAATGCAACTGCATTAATGAAAGCAATGTTTTTCATTTATAAATAATCCTACAAAATACATTTTAAAGTTCTTATGTTCCATATATGGCTGTTTTTCTCTGATGATGGCAGCAATTTCCTTGCCTGTTCTAGACAGCAGTTGGATGAAACTCATCATGCATGGATTCTTTCTCTCTCCAGCCCAAGAACACATTTAGCAAACAATTAAAAGATGATTTGATGACTATTTAGTATAGTAGCTTCCACTCTAACACAAATATTTTAAAGCCACAGAAGGAAGGGAAATTACATATATTTCAAAATTATTTCAAATGATGCAGTCAATATCAAGTATTTTTACTTCAATCAATTGTTAAAAAAAAATACTTACTTTGAAGTATCAACAGGTTGTGGATTAAAATTCCCATCTGAATCCATAGAAGCCTGCTTTTCCATCACACCAACATAATTTGATTCCATGTAATCAGGAGGTAATGCTCCTGCTACTGCACTCAGGCAGGGCAAAGCTAGTTTGAATAGTTCCTGTTCATATTTCTGCAGAGACAAAACAGAATGCATAGGATCTAGCAAAAAAAACCTCAAGGTATCTTATTTTATGCAAGAAAATAACTAATACTTCACTAAACATGTTATCATCTCCTTCATTTCAGGCCATCCAGGTTATAATATTCAAGACAGCATGTTCTACTTTCATCATTACAAGAACAGGATCTACAGGCAACCTTGCATTTCAAAGTTAGGCTGCTTATAGCCAAACTAGACATCAGATGTGTCTTAACATTTAACTTGTCAGTTTATTAAAAGGAAATAACTTTGTGGAGTTGATGTTAAGTTGTCCTGATCACAGCAGTCATAGAGAGTTCTTCAGTCTTTTTCCTTCCTTATCCATTGCCTCTTTTCCAGTAATTAAACATGAGATATAGCAAAATTGAAAGAAAAAAATAAGGCATTGCTCTGTGGTTTTGTAATATTTAATTCAAAAAAAGGCTATCTAGTTTTGACAAAAGGAAATGAGAAATATTTAACACAAATGAAAACCTAGCTGATATGGGGGAAATGCACATTTTGTCATAATTCTACAATACTGGTGGAATTAAATAAAAAGATTCCCCACTTACTAAGAGTCCCTTTTTGTACTCATTGTGGGGCACATGAAATGTCCCATCTGTGCAATATACTGCCTTGGTGACTATTAGATTGTAATGTTATTTTCTCAGACTTGCTGCAGTATCATTTGTTTATCCCCAAAACCTGCTGCAAGAAAATCAGCCCCTGACCTCAAGCATTCAAAATCTGTTGAGGCTCTTGCAGTAAATGCACATATTCTAAAACAGAATCAGTTAAAATATGAAGAACAGAATATATGCAGAAATACATTGTAATCAATGGAGAAAAGCTGTGTAAATTAGGTAAACTGAAAAATGTACACATTATGAGAATCCTTAAAATGTATGTGCATTTCAATGAAGGAAAACAAGTTTTACAAACCAATAAATAAGGCAAACGGAGGGAAAATGAGGTTGTAATTTGGAGAAACTCAGCAAAAGATTGAATGGCAGTTATGTTTCTGCTCCTTAATTTAAGTCTCTATATTGTACTGTGCCATGCTGAGTCTTGTAAGCATTGTGGTCATTTGCAACAAATTTCTACTGATATATTAAATTTACTCTTGGAAAGCACTCTAAAGTCTGAACAAAAAATTTTTCACTTTTATATATTATTGTGTTATCAGACAAACAACTTACACAAGAGGAGGGGAAGCATCAAAAATCTGCAGTAAATTTAATTTTCCATAAAATAGGGTAAATAATCCTATGCCCTGATCTTTGGATGAGAATTACTACTTGTAAAATAAACTTTAAAAGTTACCTTTTGAGATAAGGCATCAAAAATACCCCAGAACAACTTTCTGGACAAATGAAGTTCTTCTTCTGAAGCAGCACCAAAGTTACCCCAACCCCCTGATAAACAGTAATACTTCCAGCATCTTTCATAATGATTTGTCAGCAACTACAAAAGAAAAGGCAATAGCTCAATTTTGGCAATGCAGTGTAAACTGTGTGGGCAACAGCTATGCCAGAATAAGCCTGTTAGTACAAGATGCCTCATGGATCTTTGCTGCTTTTACTTTTCTATACATCAGCCGTTTTGAACCTTTTTTCGAGTCATGATCCCATTTTATAGAGGCAAAGTGATTCATGACTTCAAATACATTAAAAATAGGCTTTTTAATAGGGTTAATGAAAACACATGAAAGTACATTTTGCAGTATAATAAAATTCAACATGTTACCTTACAACATATTTAATGCAATGTTTGAAATTATAACTCATTAACAAGCTTAAACATTAGCAGTTGAATTTTCATTAATACTAACCTCATGTCATTCTCAACATTTAATCTATTTCATGTTTTGGTTTTCAATTGAAAAAGCATTGGAAATCTGCTCACAGAGTTATGTAGAAAAAAAGGAAATAAAACCCAAAACGAAAGCATGATGGCATTTGGATGACATGATTTTTTTGTTTCCCCTTTTTAAAATTTTCATAGCTGACCACTGCCAAGTGATTTCACAGAAAAACCATTTGGGGTTGCGACCCATGGATTGGAAAGCTCATTTACCATTCAATGATGCCTCTAGACCAGGGCTGCACAACCAGTTGTCCTCCAGGTTTTTGGACTTCAACCCCCAAAATTCCTGACCATTGCACAAGCTGGCAAGGGCTTATCGGAGTTGGAGGCACACATGCCTCAAGGGCCACAGGTTGTGCAGGCCTGCCCCAGAATAATACTTCCTCTTTCCAGGCACTTCCTTTTTATACTCTGGAGGTTTGGTAACTAACTGAAAAGCTAGAATAGAAGCAATTGAAAAAGCATGGGAGTTGGCACAAGGAGTTCAAGTCTGAAGACGAATTGTAAAATGTAAAATTGCTGCAGATGAAAGCCTCTGCTCTGCATCAAAGAGCATTCAATCAGCTATTGTCTGCAAATCCAAATTATTACCAGCTCACAGACCAGTCATTAAAACCCTAAAAATGACAAGAATGTGAATAGACAAACAGCACAACAGCACTGAAGCTTAGGTGGCTTTCATTTTAGTGTAATAGTGAGCTGTTAGGCTGGAACTAAAATAATTTTCATTGAATTACCCCAACTATTCTAAATTGAGTGTTCTGAAGATTATACAAGATGCTACTGACCACATTTTGAAAAATTTCCTTCACTTGACAGTGCTGATTCTAATATCAAAAACATGCTTTCTTCTGGCGCATGAGGGCAAGAGGGACTGGTAAAATATTATGGAAGTGAAAATGAAAGATGGCAATTACCTTAAGAGGCATCTTTGCATGCTCATTTAGCAAAGGAATATCAAATACTAATCTTCTCAATAAATGTTGCATCATTGAAGGTCTCATTTGACTACAGGTTACAAAAAAGGAAAGGTGAATAAAGAACAATATAAATCTGGATGTCCAAATTGTAGCCACACAAAGCAGGAAACTGGAAGCTCTGGATTTGTACTACATTTCCTTGTAATGTAAAACCACACAATCCTTACACAAAGCAACTCTTTGGCAAGTCTAATAAATACAAGTTGGGTGTGTAAAGCATGTCCCTCATTGATGCCATAACAACCACCACACCCAAGCTGAAATGTGTTCTATATCTAGAAAATAGCCAAACAATAATACTTAAAAGTTTTGCAGCACCTTCCTTTAGAAGGTGCAAGGCATAAAGCAAATAACTTCATCTATAGCTGCCTATATCATTCATTACTGCTTCTCCCAATATTTCACAGTCATGGACTGCAGTTTATGAAATGCAGTCTAAGCATGAATGAATCAAGAGATAACAGTGGTATATAAACCATCAAACCAACTTTGTTAATTCAATGGAGCTTGCTCCCAAGAAGATATTTTGTACACTGTTCTGATCTTCTATTATGATTTCAAAATACATTAGCACATAGGCAGGATACAAGTAATCTTGAGGTTTATAACTATCATCATCCGCAATGATTTTTGCACATTTTCCTAATGATGGCTTTATTCTTACCCACAAATGGAGAGTAGGCACTCTTCAATAGAGTCCCGCTGAGCTTTGGTAAGAGAACAGCCCTTGGAAAGTCGGTATACAGTGTGTAGCAAGGAATCTATAAGAGAAGCATGGTGTTCTGTGCCAGCAAAAAGAGGAGCACATCTAGTTAATAAAGGCAAAACAGCAGTGCAGAGGTACCGATTGAGAGCCAGGGCCATGTCTGTAGCACTCAGAGCAACCTATAAAATAAATTGTAAAGCTATTCAGACAGGTAGATTTTACTGCATACACAGTAACATGGTTACATTGTTTCAATGGCTTTCAGTGAGGGTAAAGAATAAAAAGGCATCAGGGTATTCAGTAATACGAGATTTATAGATAGCTTCAGTGTATATTTTTCAAATCCACAAATGTAACTGATTATTCATTCAATTCACATAATACTTTTTGTTTCTTCATTTTTGTTTTTCATTGCTTGTAATAGAAAGCTCAGCTCCTATGCTGAAGCTTGTTATGTATGTGCCTACTAGCCAATTGGGAATGCCTTTTTAAACATTCAATAAACCCTACAAGACAAACATATATTTTCTGGTATTACAACTAGCATTGGGTTCCCAAGACATCTGAAAATATAACCTTTAGTTTAGAAAAATGTTTTTGAAAAACAAACAGTTTGCCTCCCAGATGCCTCAACTATTTGAAATGAATACCCGATTCTTTCTTTCAAAACCTCACAAATATGTATGACAAGCCTTCAGGCACATCCTTTTCAAATGAAAATGCAAATTTATATGCATATATCATATAAACTAAACCCTACCAGTTATGTGAGCTATAAAAAAATCTGGAACCAAAATGCATAGGAAGCCCCTGCTAACATAGGTTTGTTTGTTTATTTAGTTTTTTCTCCAAATACAAATACTACCTACTAATTTAAATACTTATTAAAAACATTTAAAAATACTACCTCAATGCATATTACTTAGTTATGAAAATTTTCACTGAATAAAGGGGTCTTCGTTTTTGTTTTAAAAAAATTAAGTCTTCCTATCAAATAAGTTGGATCAAGAATCTGACTTAATAGTCATACTTTTTATACATTCAAAATATACACAGACTGATAAAAAAGAGAGAAACTACCAATTGGAAATTATTTTTTACCGTATCTAATGAAGCAGCAGCACGAAGGTCTGGTAGAAAGCCAACTTCTAGAAGATGTAGAAGAAAATCTTGATCTTCAATCCCATAGACCCTGTCAAGGAATAATACCATGGCTGCCTTGTGGTCTGGGCAAAACCCCTCTGACATATCAGGTTCCACCACAGTACCATCTGAAGGAAAGAGAAATCAATGATAGAGTTCCTTCATAGGTGAAAATTACATCACAGAGCTACTTCCTACCAAGAACACTGAGCACACAAGCCAAGCCGCCTTCAGATTGTTTTTATGCAAAAAGGTAAACTTTTTTATTTTTTATTTTATTATGTGAATTGGACATTTTTTGTGTGAAGTCTGTATGACTATAGGGCTTGTATCAGTGGTTCTCAATCTGTGATCCTCCAAATGTTTTGGACTTCAGCTCCCACAATTCTCAATAGGTGGCAAACTGTCTGGGATTTCTGGGAGCTGAAGTCCAAAACATCTGGAGGACCACAGTTTGAGAAACACTGAATTGTAGCAACAGAAACTAAGCAATCCCAATTCCAATTTCCAAGTATCCCAACATGCAAGTTTAATCTCCTTGTTGTGGAAAACAGTGTTAAAATCCTGCATATGCACTTTCAGCTTACTTTAAACGAATCACTGTATGATAGTCATGTTCTCATACCTTGTTGCAAATTAGAAGCTTCAGTCTGCATTTTTATATCAGATAAAGTCACTTACTAAAATAAATCAACGTAAAATCATCTGCCATGCTAGGCTAGGCTACGAGGATCACTCCAAAAGTAATGGACAACATTTTTTAATCCAAATTTTATTCTACATCTTTGCTATTTGCTGAGGGCACAGAAGAATATTTCCCAATTCTATCCAAATATAATTCAACCCACTCCTGCATACAGCGTTCTCATAGCAGTACTCCAAGATGGCTGCTGCTCTTAATATCGTACATTCCAAGAGCAACGGGGGAAGGTTAACATTTTAATTTCTACTTTCATTACACTGAGAATAAGTAGTCTTAAATCAGTCAAGTTTTAAGAAAAATGTAAATGTAAATAAGAAAAACAGTAAACGTCTTACCTTTTGCTATTGTTGGCATATGGAAAGGAATGCTAATTACACCCACCAAATCCTCCAAAGGAATCAAAGATCGCAGAATAGATCGGATTCTAATGGCTTCCCCTTTGCCAGCATGGATTAGCTAACAAAGAAGCAATGAAATTATTTGTTTTTAATCATTAGTATTCAAATTCTGACATCTGAAAGTGGTCACAAAAGTCATATCCTAGCATAGCTTTCTCTAATGGTGTGCAGTCCAGATATTTTTTCTGCAGTTGTTTAGGTTTTCTTTGCTAATGATACAATCATTTTTTTTATAAATTTTTTATTGATTTATCACTTTATTACATACTATTACATTTTGTACATCAACCTCTTTAACATGTTATTTTATTATTTTACTCTGACATTTCTCCCCCTTTTTCTCCTTTTTCCCCCCTTTTTCACCACAGTGCTCCCCTCCACCCATTTCAAGCCACCCTTCTTACATTTCATCTGTCCAAAATTTCATTTCTTCTTGTGACGGTAATTTTCCTTCCTTATTTTTTAATCCATTTACCACAAATCTTCCCCATACAGCATCAAAATCGCTTTGTTTCCATATACCTTTTTTAACCTTTAATATACATGTCAATTTATCGTTTATTGCTATTTTCCATGCTTCTTTATACCACTCCTCTATTTGTATATTCATTTCTTTTTTCCAATTCCTTGCTATAAGCAGTCTTGCTATAGTTAGTAAGTTTGTTATCGCTTCTTTATCCTCCTTTTTCAAATGCTTATCGTTATATAGTGATAGTAATGCTATACTAGGACTTTTATCTAGTTTTATATTCATTATAGTTTCTATTTCTCTAAATACTTTCTCCCAAAAATTATTTACATATTTACATTGCCACCACATGTGTATATATGTTCCTGGTTCTTGACACCCTCTCCAACAATTTATTGAGTTATTTTTATTCATATATGCTATTCTTACCGGTGTCAAGTACCACTTCCATATTAACTTGTAATAATTTTCTTTAACTCGTATCGATAAATTTTTTAAATGTCTTTGTCCCCATAATTGTTGCCACTCTATTTCGCTTATTTTTATCCCTAAATCTTCTTCCCAAATCTCTTTAAGGGTGCACTTTTTTGTTTTTTCATCTTTCATTTCAATTAATATCTTATAAATTTTGCTAATTATACCTCTCAAGTTTTCGTGTTCTTCTACAGTCCTTCCCTTCTGTATTATTTGTTCGAATTGACTGAGTTGGCTTTCACTTCTATTATTTTTTTTCCAATTTATTACCCATTGTTTTAATTGTATACAATGAAACCATGACAATTTTATTTCTTTAAACTCTTCCAACATCCTTTCCCTCTTCATTTCCACCTTCATCCAATCCCCTATCCTATCTAAATTTATTTCCCTTACCTTTTTATCCATTACTTTTTTAAATTTTTTGGGAACTTCTTTTCCATCACTATTGGGGTTATAATTGATCCCTCCTTTATTAACCTCCCCTTTTATTTATTCCATACTTTAAGTATATTGCTCAGCATTGGGTTTCTAATTTCCCTCATTTCTTTTCTAGTAAACTGTTTAAAAAATATATTCCAAGTTTCATCTTCCACTTTTCCTGAATCATTACTAAGCCAATCTATTCCCTCTTCTTTGACCATTCCTTCTATAACCAAACTTAATCTACTTGCTTCGTAATATTTTTTTATATTAGGTAACGCCAGTCCACCCTCCTTTTGCGATCTATACCATAATTGTTTATTTAGTCTGTTCCTTTTACTTCCATTACAGTACTTATTAATCATTTGTTGCCATCTAGTTAGTTCTTCTTCTGTAATTTGAAGTGGTAGCATCCTAAATATGAAATTTATTTTTGGAAGTATTTTCATTTTTACTAATGCTATTCTTCCAAACCATGATAAGCGTATTCCTTCGTACTCTATTAACTTTTTCTGGACTTCTTTCCTTAATGTTACTACATTTACTTCCTCTATCTCTTTTAAATCCTTAGTTATTATTACTCCCAAGTATTTTAGTTTGTTCTTGATTCTTATTCCCCCTTTGCTCTGTTCTATAAGATCTTTTTCTTCTTCTCTTGTATAATTAAGTAGCATCCTTTCTGACTTACTCCAATTAACTTGTAAGCCTGTTGCTTTCCCAAATATCTCCAAATGTTCTTTTATTCTATCCATTTTCTCCACTATATTTTCTATAAATAACAATGTATCGTCAGCGAATAAACTCACCTTCTGTTTCTCCTTTTTTCCTAACCCTTCTAGATTTTTGTCATTCCTTATGTTATTAGCAAACAGTTCTATCACCATGGCAAATAGTATCGGGGACAAAGGGCACCCTTGTCTAGTTCCTCTAGTCACTTTTATTTCGTTTGTCACTCCATCATTTATAGTTACCACTGCCGAGTTCCTTGAATAAAATTGTTTTAATACTCCTTTTATTCTATTTCCCATTCCGAATTTATTCAATATTTCCCTTAATGTCTCCCATTCCACACAATCAAACGCTTTAAAAATATCTAATGATAATATCCCTGCTTTTTCTTTCCTCTCTTTAGCCCAATGAATTTTATTTAGTACTCTCCCTATCAAATTTGACATTTGTCTTCCTTTTATAAACCCGCACTGATCTTCTTTTATGTACTTATACATACATTTATTCATTCTATTAGCTATTATCGCGGACAATATCTTTGCATCCTGATTAATTAATGATATGGGCCTATATGACCCTGGGTCTGTTAGGTCTTTATCAGGAATGCTAATTACACCCACCAAATCCTCCAAAGGAATCAAAGATCGCAGAATAGATCGGATTCTAATGGCTTCCCCTTTGCCAGCATGGATTAGCTAACAAAGAAGCAATGAAATTATTTGTTTTTAATCATTAGTATTCAAATTCTGACATCTGAAAGTGGTCACAAAAGTCATATCCTAGCATAGCTTTCTCTAATGGTGTGCAGTCCAGATATTTTTTCTGCAGTTGTTTAGGTTTTCTTTGCTAATGATACATTCATATAAATATATAATTATCATTCATACACACACATATATATGAACACATGTACACACATATAATTAGCAGATAAAAAATCTTCAATATGAAACACTAAAACATTTTTACAGCCAGTTCTTATTTTCATTCCCATAGATATTTTGAAATGAACCCAAAAACTATCTACACAATGAATGAAAATCTTTCTGTGGTTTTCTTTGCATTTATTCTGATTCATTCCTCTCTTTTAATCTTCTCATCTAGTCATCAAATTTATTGTCTCAATCAGGCAACATGCCATGTCACTGAGACCTCACTGGGCTATTTTCCCACTTGTGTTTTTAATCAATATTTTGGTATCACCTCAAACACAAGGAATGTTCCTAGTCTGCTAATATCTCCCCTCTCTGAGCCAAAAATCCAGGAATATGACATGGGTGTCCTGATTTACAGAATTAATGAGCAGAGAGTAGACTTTAATAAAGATAATAAAAGGGATGAAGCAACAGAACCTACGTGCATTTCTGGGGCACAGCGTCCTAGGAGATCAATCAGAGCAGCATAAAAAGTCATGATGGCATTTCCCATGTGAATAGTATCTTCTTCTTCTTCCACCTCACTTCTGTTTATTTTTTCCAAAAGAACAAAAATACAGGATCAGAGTAAAATCTGTTAGGTAATGTGACTTGTCAAAACTTAATTCAGTCCCTAACATTCAGTTAAAATAGTTTTCAGTGGAAGCTAGTTATAGTTTGGGTTACTAATATATTACTGAATTTTTAATCAACTTTATAAATAAGTATCACTCCATGCTTCCATAGCTTAGCAAATTTAAACTAAATTTCCAAAAAATTATACATAGCACAATATAATTTTAGACAAAGCTTAGAAGCATTACTTGAAAACTAATTTGTGCTTTACCTCCTGCATTAGGTTTCATTACTAATATTATGGACTTCTGTTTCAGTTCTGGAAACTAGGACACGGAACAATGGCTTCAAACTACAGGAAAGGAGATTCCACCTAAATATTAGGAAGAACTTTCTGACTGTGAGAGCTGTTCAGCAGTTGAACTCTCTGCCCCAAAGTGTGGTGGAGGCTCCTTCTATGGAGGCTTTTAAACAGACGCTGGATGGTCATCTGTTGGAGGTGCTTTGAATGCAATTCTCCTGCTTCTTGGCAGGGAGTTGGACTGGATGGCCCATGAGGTCTCTTCCAATTCTATGATTCTATAGTTCTATGATTCTGGTTTAATTGTTCCTTAAAAAGCTCCTTGTTTAAGGGACAATTAAATATGTAAATAGTTTACAAAATTTGATCTGAAGAAGGCATCACTTCTATTCTACCTACAGTGTTTTATTGGATCCATTAGTTGGTGAAGGTCCATCTCTTGAAGGGTCTTCTGACATGTCAATGGCTTCCTCCATGGCAGCAAGTAAGCCATTTCCACCTTCTCCTCTCAGTGCTGGTCCAAAGCACTCAGGACGCCGAATGAGTAACCTGACCACCACATTAGCATTCTCTTCAACACTTTCTCCTACAATCATACAGGAAACATTTGTAAAAGGCACAAGTCAGGATTTGTTTATTTTTGTAATTACTTACATGGGAGGCATGAGAGGCCATGGTTGGAGGAATTATGATGCTATTCCTGGTGGGGCTGAGGTTTTACTCATTTTGAGATATAGCTGAAAACAAGATTTGACTACTATGGTGGCTGAAGGGAAAAAAGGAAGAAAAAGCCTAGTATGGATGAATTATAGTATGCTTCATTGCACCCCTACCACAAAATAAAGAGGCTAGACAACATGTGTATGGTATAAAGGGGGCAATATTTCATCTATTTGTGTAATTATTTAGTGTAACTACTGCAACCTGCAAAAAAGTGGGAATTAAATCCACCTAATGGGTATAGTCAAGGACTATACCCACTTGGGCCAGCACCTAAACCCCAAGAGAAATCCAAATTATCATAGAGCTCATCCCAACCATTTTGATGAAAGACCATCCTAGGGGCATTCCCTTTTTCAAAAGTGAGAAACTCCCATTATATCCCCTTTTCAGCTATTCAAGCCATGGAATCTAGAGAAGCTGTTCTAGAAATTTACCCTTCACCCACATAGGGAGTGCCACAGTGAGTACTGAATCTACTTTTTTATCATGCCAGTTTCAAATTACTTAAGTGACACCATCAAATGCCAATTACTACAACACAACAATGACACTATGGGGTAGGCAACAGCCAGCCAGAAAATTCCTTGGTGGGGAATGGGGTAATGCCTACACAGCCCAGCATTAAAATCACATTGACCTGAGGGTGGGAGGGTTATTCATGGTTGAAACAAAAGAAGCAGGCCTGATGGGCAGCCACCATTTTATAGGCAACTGGGGGGAAGGCTACAATTCAGACACTCCCCGTTAGACTCTGAACTTTGTGTAGGAGTCATAAATCCCCCATCCCCAGTGCTTGGGGCTTTGCACTTGAGACTTTGGGTTGGGCTTATGCCTGTAGCTGCAAGGTGGATAACCAACCCAACCACTAGTTTAAGGACTAACTTCATAACATCGAATGCATCATTTTCATGACTCCAGAATCTCATATTTGATCTCTTGGTGACCATTAAAATAATAGCAGGTACATGAATGAAAATGGGAAATATGAACCGGGATAAAGAAAACTGCGGGGTAATTACAACATACAGATAAAAGAAAATAAAAGTGTGATGTGTTATACTTCCATCTTTTCTCTTCTTTTTTAATTTTACTTGATTTTCTTGTTCTCCAAAGTGCTTGCTATAAGCAGCATAATGTTCCATTTTGGCTTCCTCAAGCCAGGCATGTAGCCGGGGGGGGGGGGCTTGGGGGTTTCAGCCCCCCCCCCCCCAAATTCTCATGGTGGTTCGCGAGAAGGCCTTACTGGTACATTATTTAAACTGTTATGTTTATTCATATCATGATCTGATCACCATGCTCAATATATCCCATTTGCATGGGGGTATTGGGGTAACGATACAAAAGGTTTGCTAGGGTAGACCCTCTTTCACTCAGACTCAGCCCCCCCCCCCAATCAAACTCACCCCCCCCCCCCCCGAATCGAAATCCTGGCTACGGGCCTGCCTCAGGCCAACCCTATTCTCCATGGGATGTGTATTTGAGAATTCTAGGACAAACTACAGGAAGTAATTACCCCAGCATATCTCAATTTCTTTAGGGAGACAGTTAAAAAGCAATGCTATTGTATTGGCTGCAAATGAAATAACTGCCTTAGGCCTCTTCCACATAGCTCTATAAAATCCCATACTGTCTGCTTTTAACTGGGATATATGGCAGTGTAGACTCAGATAACCCAATTCAAAGCAGATATTGTGAGATTTACTGCCTTGGTATTCTGGGTTATATGGCTGTGTGTTACTCCTAAGTTCTCTCTATAATGAAAATAATTCCATCGTATGCTAAATTTCCCTAAATTTCAGTTTTTCATCATTTATGGTATGAATAGTCATGTACACAAAATAAAGCTGAGGAATCGTAATTCATTAACTCTAATTTTGAAATACAGCTCTAATTATTTGGAAATAACCAATGATGCGTTTATGTATTGCCTCATGCAGTACCATTGCAAAAAACAGCAAACCGAAGAAAATCCAGATATCGTTCTCCTTCAACAGGATTCCAACCAATATCTGGGTAGCCTTTAGAGATCAGCAAAGGACAGCTCTGCAAACCACATCCAGCCAAGTAGCGGACTACCTAAGACCATGGTAAAATTTAAAAAGAAAAGAATTTACTGCAAAAAAAGTCCAAACCAGACTTTCATAATTGAATATTTTCTTCATTTTTGTTCTGTCTTGTGAAAAAAAATCAGTACCATCTGGACCAATGTGAAAAGTCAGTCCCACAATATCATCTTTAAACTTATCTGCATTTGACTGTTTAATAAAACAATAACCTAAAAAAGAATAACCTCAGTGATGTGACATGTGCTCAAAGAAACCTAGTGTGCATCTAGATCAGGTACAGGCAAATCCAGGTCCGCAGTCTGGATGCAGATGCTTGCAGCAGTGTTCTGCTGAGAGGAAGATCCTGCAGTCACACATGGCAGCCCAGGGCTCTTGATGAAACCCTCCCCCCACCTTCCCCATGTCAACTGCTTTTAGCCTCCTCCCCCCCAACCAACCCTTGGCTTCCCCCTCCCCCTACCTCCCAGCCCGGTCGGCAATGCAGCCCTCATCTTAAAAAGTTTCCTTTGCCTGATCTAGAGTGTAGAATGAATTTAGTTAGACATTACTTTAACTGCCATGGCTCAACGCAACAGTATCCTGGGAGTTGTAGTTTGGTGAAGAACTAGCATTTAGTCAAAGAATGCTAAAGACCTTGTAAAATTACTACTCCCATGACTCCATAGCATTGAACCATGACAATGAAGTGATACATGATAATCCAATGACATTGCCTTACATAGAGACCTTATCCTTCACATAGAATAAAAACTGCTGTTACTTTACATTTATATATGTGTATTTATACTTACAAAGGTAAGCATGATATAAATGTGTAAAGCCACATCAACCATTCAGAAGAGGACATACCTTTTCTAAATCAGGCTCTCTCAAAGCTAGTGCAAGTTCATTGTTGTCCATAACAGAAGCTGCTGCAACATCTAAAGGTGTTGACCCACGCATAGAAGGGGATGCTGTTAAAACAATATTTCAAAAAGTTTAATTTATTCACAATATGACTCTATGCATAACATCACAGATCAGTAAATTTAATTTTCAGAAATACGTTTCATTAGACATTCGTTGATTCAGTACTATTATACCAACACTGTAATGATATTATTTAGTAATATTATCACACTATAAACAAAACCTCCAGCAAAGGATCACCGCCTTGTCGGGGCGCTGGAGCTTGAGCACCTCAATGATGTCATGAGCGAAACCGTGAAGGGCCACCCAAGACGGGACGGTTGTGGCAGAGAGGTCAGACAAGCGTGATCCCTGGGGAAGGCAATGGCAAACCACTCCAGTATCCTTGCCAAGAAAACTAAATGGACCAGTACAACCAGAGATATGTCGGTATGCCATTGGAAGATGGGACTCCCAGGTCAGAAGATGGCCAAAATGCTACTGGGGAGGAGCAGAGGATAAGTTCAACTAGCCCCAGATGTGATGACGCAGCTAGCTCAAAGCCGAAAGGAAGGCTAGCGGCCGACGGTACTGGAGGTGAACGACGAATCCGATGCTCTAAAGATCAACACACCATAGGAACCTGGAATGTAAGATCTATGAGCCAGGGCAAATTGGATGTTGTTATGGGCGAGATGTCAAGACTAAAGATAGACATTCTGGGGGTCAGCGAACTGAAGTGGACTGGAATGGGCCACTTCACATCAGATGACCACCAGATCTACTACTGCGGACAAGAGGAACATCGAAGAAATGGAGTAGCCTTCATAATTAATAAGAAATTCGCTAAAGCGGTGCTTGGATACAACCCAAAAAATGACAGGATGATCTCAATTCGAGTGCAAGGAAAGCCTTTCAACATTACAGTGATCCAAATATACGCCCCAACCACAGCTGCTGAAGAAGCAGAAGTAGATCAGTTCTATGAGGATCTGCAGGACCTACTGGATAATACACCAAAAAGAGATATTATTTTCATTACAGGAGACTGGAATGCCAAGGTGGGAAGTCAAATGACAACTGGGATCACAGGCAAGCATGGTCTGGGAGAACAAAATGAAGCGGGACGCAGGCTGATAGAATTTTGCCAGGAAAACTCGCTGTGTATAACGAATACTCTCTTCCAACAACCTAAAAGACGGCTTTACACATGGACCTCACCAGACGGTCAACACCGAAATCAGATTGACTACATCCTTTGCAGCCAAAGGTGGCGGACATCCATCCAGTCGGTGAAAACAAGACCTGGGGCTGACTGTAGCTCAGATCACGAACTTCTTATTGCCCAATTTAGAATAAAACTAAAGAGATCAGGGAAAATACACAGACCAGTTAGATATGATCTCACTAACATTCCTAGAGAATATACAGTGGAAGTGAAGAACAGATTTGAAGGACTAGATTTAGTAAACAGAGTCCCAGAAGAACTATGGACAGAAGTCCGAGACATTGTTCAGGAGGCGGCAACAAAGTACGTCCCAAAGAAAAAGAAAACCAAGAAGGCAAAATGGTTGTCTGCTGAGACACTGGAAGTAGCCCAAGAAAGGAGGAAAGCAAAAGGAAACAGGGATAAGGGGAGATATGCCCAGTTAAATGCGCAATTCCAGAGGTTAGCCATAAGAGATAAGGAACTATTTTTAAATAAGCAATGCATGGAAGTGGAAGAAGACAACAGAATAGGAAGGACAAGAGACCTCTTCCAGAAAATTAGAAACATTGGAGGTAAATTTCAGGCAAAAATTGGTATGATAAGAAACAAAGATGGCAGGGACCTAACAGAAACTGAAGAGATCAAGAGAAGGTGGTGAGACTATACAGAAGATCTGTATAGGAAGGATAATAATATTGAGGATAGTTTTGACGGTGTGGTGAATGAATTAGAACCAGACATCCTGAGGAGTGAGGTTGAATGGGCCTTAAGAAGCATTGCTAACAACAAGGCAGCAGGAGACGACGGGATCCCAGCTGAACTGTTTAAAATCTTAAAAGATGATGCTGTCAAGGTGATGCATGCCATTGGCCAGCAAATATGGAAAACACAAGAATGGCCATCAGACTGGAAAAAATCAACTTATATCCCCATACCAAAAAAAGGGAAATGCGAAAGACTGCTCAAACTTCCGTACAGTGGCCCTTATTTCTCATGCCAGTAAGGTAATGCTCAAGATCCTGCAAGGAAGACTCCAGCAATACATGGAGAGAGAGTTGCCAGATGTTCAAGCTGGGTTTAGAAAAGGCAGAGGAACGAGAGACCAAATTGCCAATATCCGCTGGATAATGGAGAAAGGCAGGGAGTTTCAGAAAAACATCTACTTCTGCTTCATTGACTATTCTAAAGCCTTTGACTGTGTGGATCATAATAAATTGTGGCAAGTTCTTGGTGGATGGGCATACCAAACACCTTCTCTCTCCTGAGGAATCTGTACAAGGACCAAGTAGCAACAGTCAGAACTGACCACGGAACAACAGACTGGTTCAAGATTGGGAACGGCGTACGGCAAGGCTGCATCCTCTCACCCAACCTTTTTAACTTGTATGCAGAACACATCATGCGATGTGCGGGGCTGGATGAATGCAAAGCTGGGGTGAAAATTGCTGGAAGAAACATTAACAACCTCAGATATGCAGATGACACCACTCTGATGGCCGAAAGCGAGGAGGAGCTGAGGAGCCTTCTAATCAAGGAAAGAAGAAAGCGCAAAAGCCGGGTTGCAGCTAAACGTCAAAAAAACCAAGATTATGGCAACAAGAATGATTGACAACTGGAAAATAGAGGGAGAAACCGTGGAGGCCCTGACAGACTTTGTATTTCTAGGTGCAAAGATTACTGCAGATGCAGACTGTAGCCAGGAAATCAGGAGACGCTTACTTCTTGGGAGGAGAGCAATGTCCAATCTCGATAAAATAGTAAAGAGTAGAGACATCAGAATGGCAACAAAGATCCGCCTAGTCAAAGCCATGGTATTCCCTGTAGTAACCTACGGATGTGAGAGCTGGACCTTAGGGAAGGCTGAGCGAAGGAAGATCGATGCTTTTGAGCTGTGGTGTTGGAGGAAAGTTCTGAGAGTGCCTTGGACTGCGAGAAGATCCAACCAGTCCATCCTCCAGGAAATAAAGCCCGACTGCTCATTGGAGGGAAGGATACTAGAGACAAAGTTGAAGTACTTTGGTCACATCATGAGGAGACAGCAAAGCCTAGAGAAGACAATTATGCTGGGGAAAGTGGAAGGCAAAAGGAAGAGGGGCCGACCAAGGGCAAGATGGATGGATGGCATCCTTGAAGTGACTGGACTGACCTTGAGGGAGCTAGGGGTGGTAACGGCCGACAGGGAGCTCTGGCGTGGGCTGGTCCATGAGGTCACGAAGAGTCGGAGACGACTGAACGAATGAACAACATAAACAAAACACTATACATATTTTTGGATAGTCCCAGGAGACACAAAAATCCCAGTATACTTAAACTTTTATTGGATTAATAATACTGTCAGTGATGTTCAAAAGTGTCAGATACAGTTACATAGTTGGCCCTCCACTTTTATGGGTTTCACTGTCACAAATTTAATTATTTGAGCATTTCCTTAGGGAGAAGGTTCTCCAAACTACAAAGTGGTGGAATAAGTTCTGTTAAGACTTACCAAGACCAACACTGCTGTTTTCCAAAAGATAACTAAGATGGTCAAACATAGCCTTTTGATTTTGTCTACTAATGCGGCAAAAGTAGCACAAAAAGCGACAACAATTGGCCACCATCTTAGGAAAGGTGATTTCCTATATAAAGAATGCTATGTTAGAAACATGTAAGGTTATGAATAAAACCACTGCACTTTTATCATTTTCTATTTTTTTACACATTACAAAAATTGACTCAGAAAAAAAATACCAAAATACACCTAAGCCACCAGTAACCTGCACATCTTCTCACAATGGTATGGAGAAACACCCATTACTCTTTCTTGGTTTCTCTTCTTACCCATCCACTCATTTGTAATTCTTTATGAAACTCCCCTTTTCTCACATAAAGCAGAATACCACAAACTTCCTATCCCTGCTTTTCATTGTATCCCATTCCAGTTTTGTCTGTCGTGGTTCATACTGCTCATAATTGCCATTACTCATCACGGGATAAGATCTCGTCTACACTGCCATATAATCCAGTTGCTAAATGCAGATTAAATTGGATTATGTAGTGGTGTAGACTCAGTTTAAATCAGATAATCTGCATTCAGAAACACGTCAGTGTAGATGGGGCCTGAAACTCCTCCAAGGATAGCAGAGGGAGTAAAGGGCTAGGAGAGACGTAACTATTCCCCTCCAATATAAATTTCAGAAAAATGTGCTCAATACTGTATTACATTTTGTTGTGGAAAAGGTTCCTCCAAAGAAACCTAACAGTCAGAGATTCTGTTTACCAATAAGGGCATGAAAGAAAATGAAGTGAAACACATAAACATTTAGATCAATCTTTCTGTCTTTGACTTACTAAAGGACCCACAACAACAGATGATGTAATGTTAAGTTACATAACAAAATTTTAAACTTTCATTGAACTAAATAGGATTTTCCTATTCAATGAGAGTTAAGTAGCTATGTTGAACATTGCAAACAGTATCTGAAGTGCCTTCTTCTAGCACATTACCTTTGACTCTCCTCCTCCAAGAACATTCACCATTACTTCCATTACAGTTTCGTGCATCCCCAGCGCCCTCATAAGATTAGGATGTTGGTAAAAAACTTTGTTATTCATGATATCCCTATGTTTAAAACAAAAAGAAAAAAGTATTTGTACATTTGTTTTGGAACTACAGGCAGTCTCCATGTTACAAACATCTGACTTACAAATGACGTATAGTTCAGAACAGGGGTGTGACAACAGAAAACGAGAGAAATCTACCCCTCAGAAGGAATTTCACTTCTGGAAGAGTCATTATGGGGAAGCTTTCTCATCAATCCTTGTTTCTAAAACAAGCCACCACCACCCCCCCCCCCCAAATCCAATTATCCAAGGGACAGGAAGTGAGGTGAAATATTCTGAACAGGGGCACAGTCAGCAAAACAAACACCACATGGGTGTTAATCTTTCCCTATGCTATCCAAAACTATAGAGAGAGGGGAGGAAGGGGGGAGATTTGGATGAAATTACACTTAAAAAATGTACCTGTTCAGACTTACATACACATTCAACTTAAGAACAAACCTACAGGACGTAACTTTTTCATAACTTGGGGACTGCCTGTAGTACTTATAAACATTTCACTTCAGTTTCATGCCAAACTACAGGGATAAGGAAAGCATGGGCAGTGCTGTTAGGTAGCAGATGAACTGCTAAACCATGCACTTCCAACTTTAAAGACAGGCAGCCATTTGAAGCTGCCAGATATGTTAGCCTGCAAGATAAGGAATATCTGCATAAGTGACAGCATGAACAAATCATGCCAATGAAGGAAAGGTGTTAGCATCAGTTATCAGTATAACTGATGCTAAAATTTGTGAATGTCTTCATTATCAGAACAAGAACAAATTTAAATTTAACATAAACAAACATGGAAGAAAATAAAAAAGGCATACTCATCCGATGCTATTTCTGATATACAGTTGTATTATTTGATTTATAAGAAGCTAAGATTTTGGATGAAATTTGCCTATAAACTACATACTGTTTTCTTCACTATAAACCTTCACTTTACAGAAGCTGTGATTGATAAAAGCAATTCTGAAGAGAATGCCTCACTTCAGATTGTACTCATTCATTCCCTAGTTTTTAAACATTCATATTATTCAACTTTAGCAATGAGACACATGAGCTCAATATCTACTTTAGAAGAGTCAGTTTACAGTCAAATTATTTAATAGTATAATGGGTAGTTAAGAAATACTTTACCCTAATCCACGAATCATAAGTTTCTCTTCCTCCTTGCCCATTCTAACACTGAGGAGAGAACGGATCTGCCCAAGAGATGCTAGTAAGTTGATAGTATCTTCCACTGATACTCCATTAATAGTGTATGTCTTTGGCAAGGCTTGGACTAGGCCACCAACTCCATCATACTGGCGATGTAATAAAACAAACATGGCCCTCACCAATTCTGGGTCTTCGATTACTGATTCTTGAGCCCATCGTACCATGGTCTCTGATATCAACTGCTGGAGAGTCGCTAAATGTAGAAAGCATTAGGAAAATATAAAACAAAACTATTTTCAATATGCGATAACATCATGTAAATCTATTCTGCTGGTTCAATTTAAAAATTGAGAAAAATGTGGGTTTTTTTCTTAATTAAGGAAGGTACTACATAAAATATTTCCAATTACATAACATTATCCTGAAGGTAAAGAAGAATTGCAGATTGTATATGTTATTCCCATGCTCCCCTATTAAAACATTCTTGAGTACACATGTTAAAATTTCATCTGCTAAATATGCCTAAAGCCCCAAATAGATTTTATTTTAAGAAAGATGAACCAATAAAAAAACCCTAGCTATATCGCCGTGTTGATCATCGCCGGAAGATTGAAGACGCATCCGCTTTTAGATCAACCGTCTAGAGTTTACATCGTGAATCACAATAACCCTACCTAATTGCTATCATTGACATCCTTGTAATATTGTGTTTACAAATTACCAACATAGTACGTTCCTTTGATTGTCTTTCGCTGCTAAACAAGAACGCATTCAGCACTTTAAGGCGCCTGCCACTTGCTGCTAAACGATACTAGCACTTACGCCCCCTTCCATATCCCTCTATGCCGCACTTTAGTTAGCATTGAGAACCAGTTCGGGTATTGTTGCACTTTAAGATCTGGCACTTTATGAATTTGCCCAATGGCACGCAGTTGTGTTGTTGATTGAGTCGTGTTATTGACTGTGTTGCACTTAAGACTCTTGCACTGTGCACTTTATGAACTATCTAACGGGTGTGGCGGGAACGCCTATTACCATCTGAAACCTAGTGTTATCCATGTGGTTACCCATCCCCCTTTTTGTACTGTCCCTGTTATTATTGACCAGCGGAAGGGGCAAGGGAGGAGGTGGGCTGGAACCTGTGAACAAAAATGAGGCGGGGAGGGGGGGAGGAGAAGAAGCAAGGGAGTTGGCAGGGGCCAACAGACCAAACATCTGGCGGGACAGATATTAAGACCTCGGGTTGGGACTGCGGCATGGAGGGGGGGAGGTGTTCCACTAGCCGAGGGGCCCCCATAGAGGTCGTGGTGGGGAGGAGGAGATGCGGAAAAAGGAGACCTCGAATTCGGCCTAATTCGGACCACCTATCAACATTAATAATCCCAAATCGGTCTCCTAAGGTAAATTGGTGTAACCAGGTGAGCGGGCCCTCTGGATTGAAGGTGGTGCTGCTGAACGCCAGATCTGTCAACGGAAAAACGACCTTTATCCAGGATTTAATCCTGGATGAGCGGGCAGATCTGGCGTGCATCACGGAGACCTGGCTGGACGAAGCGGGAGGTGTAAATTTGACCCAGCTTTGCCCACCAGGTTTCTCTGTGCAGCACCAACCGAGATCCGGAGGGCGGGGAGGCGGAGTTGCAGTGGTCTATAGAGATTCCATTCATCTGACCAGGAGCCCCATCCCGCAGACCACAAATTTTGAATGTGTCCACCTGAGGGTGGGTGACCGGGACAGAATAGGGATTCTGCTAGTGTACCGTCCACCTCGCTGCACTACAGTCTCCCTACCTGAGCTAGCGGGGGTAGTCTCAAGCCTGGCATTGGAGTCTCAACGGCTTCTGGTGCTGGGAGACTTCAATGTCCATGCCGAGGCGACCCTCACAGGAGCGGCTCAGGACTTCATGTCCGCCATGGCAACCATGGGGCTGTCCCAACAGATATCTGGCCCCACCCATTGTGCTGGACACACATTGGACTTGGTTTTCTGCCAGGGATGGGAGCAGGGTGGCGGTGTGGAGGAGCTGTCTATCTCTCCGTTGCCATGGACTGACCACTTCCTGATCAGATTTAGGCTCACTGCGCCCCCTAACCTCCGCAAGGTGGAGGACCCATTAAGATGGTCCGCCCCAGGAGGCTTATGGATCCGAATGGATTCCTGACGGCTCTTGGGGATTTTCCCGCCACCTCGGTAGGTGACCATGTCGAGGCCTTGGTCGCTCTCTGGAATGGGGAGATGGCCAGGGCAATTGACATGATCGCTCCGGAACGTCCCCTCTCAAGTAGCCGAGCTAAACCAGCCCCTTGGTTTACTGAGGAGCTGGCAGTGATGAAGCGAAGGAAGAGGGAACTAGAGAGCGTGTGGCGTTCGGACCCAAGTGAATCAAATCGAGCACGGTTTGTGTCCTTTTTAAGGGCATATGCCGCGGCAATAAAAGCCGCAAAGAAAACTTTCTTTGCGGCCACTATTGCGTCTGCAAAAAACCGTCCGGCGGAGTTGTTTCGGATTGTCAGAGGTCTTTTAACTCCCGCCACCTCAGGCGGGAGCCCTGACAATTCGGTCACGCGCTGCGAAGCATTTGCTCGGTTCTTTGCAGACAAAGTCGCTTTGATCCGTTCTGAGCTGGACACCATGTTAAATGCAGTCTCTGTGGATGTGACAAGAGCACCTGCTTGTCCTATTTTGATGGATTCTTTTCAGTTTGTGAAACCCGAGGATGTGGACAAGATACTTGGAGGACTGAGGCCCACCACGTCCATCCTAGACCCCTGCCCATCCTGGCTTCTGAAGGAGGCCAGAGGGGGATTGGCTGAGTGGGTAACGGTGGTGGTTAATGCCTCCCTTCGGGAAGGCAAGATTCCAGCGTGCTTAAAACAAGCAATTATAAAACCGCTGTTGAAGAAACCATCATTGGACCCCACTAAATTTGACAACTTTCGGCCTGTTTCCAATCTCCCCTTTTTGGGCAAAGTCATGGAAAGCGTGGTGGCCTCACAACTCCAGGTATTCTTGAGAGACACGGATTATCTGGATTCGGCACAGTATGGTTTCAGACCGGGACATGGAACTGAGACAGTCTTGGTCGCCTTAGTGGATGATCTGCGCCGGGAGCTAGACAGGGGGAGTGTGTCCCTGTTGGTGCTCCTGGACCTCTCAGCGGCCTTCGATACCGTCGACCACGGTATCCTTCTGGGGCGCCTTGCGGAAATGGGGCTTGGGGGCATTGCTCTGCAGTGGCTCCAGTCATTTCTGGAGGGTCGTACCCAGAAGGTGTTATTGGGGGACTCCTGTTCAACACCACAGCCTTTGACCTGTGGGGTTCCACAGGGTTCTATCTGTCCCCATGCTGTTTAACATCTACATGAAGCCGCTGGGTGAGATCATCCGGAGTTTCGGGGTGCGGTTTCATCTGTACGCAGATGATGTCCAACTCTGTCACTCCTTTCCACCTGCTACTAAGGAGGCTGTCGAGGTCCTGAACCGGTGCCTGGCCGCTGTAATGGTCTGGATGAGGGCGAACAAACTGAAATTAAATCAGACAAGACAGAGGTACTCCTGGTCAGTCAAAAGGCCGAACAGGGTTACAGCCTGTGCTGGACGGGGTTACACTCCCCCTGAAGGCGCAGGTTCGCAGTTTGGGAGTGATCCTGGACTCATCGCTGAGCCTGGAGCCCCAGGTTTCAGTGGTGGCCAGGGGAGCATTTGCACAGCTTAGGCTCGTGCGCCAGCTGCGCCCGTATCTTGGGAAGTCTGACTTGGCCACGGTGGTACACGCTCTGGTCACATCCCGCCTTGACTACTGCAACGCTCTCTACGTGGGGCTGCCCTTGAAGACGACCCGGAAGCTTCAGCTAGTTCAGCGCGCGGCAGCCATGTTACTAACGGGAGCGGGACGCAGGGAGCATACAACGCCCTTGTTGTCCCAGCTCCACTGGCTGCCGATTTGCTACCGGGCCCAATTTAAGGTGCTGGTGTTATCCTACAAAGCCCTAAACGGTTCCGGCCCAAAATACCTCTCGGACCGCATCTTGGCCTATGAGCCCACGAGGACCTTGAGATCGTCTGGGGAGGCCCTTCTCTCGATTCCGCCTGCCTCGCAGGCGCGTCTGGCGGGGACGAGAGAGAGGGCCTTCTCAGTGGTGGCCCCCCGGCTGTGGAACGCCCTCCCTGCTGACATCAGACAGGCGCCCTCTCTCATGGCTTTCCGTAAGAGCCTAAAGACCTGGCTCTTCGAGAAGGCATTTAACTAGTCCCAGACTAACTGACAATGACAATGACAATCGGAACGAAATACGGATTATGAGACTGGTAGATCCCTATGTGGTGACGGTGCGGATTAGTTTAGTGTAATTTAGATTAAGCGTGTTATATGGTTTGTTGATATACTCTGTGTTTTTTGTAAACTGTTTTTATATGTTGTACACCGCCGCGAGTCGCCCTAGGGCTGAGAGCGGCGGTCAACAAATGCATTAAATAAAATAATAAAAAATATATCAAATTAACTATCCATTTGTTCCCACAGTGGCCATAAAAAGCGCAAATAAATCCTTAAGCACAATGTGGTTGCAACAACATCGTCCTGCTAATAGCTCGAGCCACAAGATGCTTTTATATATGTTGACTGTGTCAAAGACATGACACTGTTCCCTGTGTTTATCAGGGAGATCATCTGGAGTTTTGGGGAATTGGCTCAGTATGCTGTTGTTGTTGTTGTTGTTGTTGTTGTGTTTATTATGTTTATTTATACCCCACTTTTCCTCTCCACAAAGGAGACTCAAAGCATCAAAGTATGCTAATATTACCTAATTCAATCTCGTTTAAAACTGACGAAAGAATCATACTGCAAATTCTTATGAATACTTTTCCATTCTATCTTACATATCAGGATCATAATTTGAGGATATTCCTGGACCCAGTAATATACTCCTGGTAGGCCAGGTAGCTGCTGTGGCTGGATGTGCCCTTGTCCAATTTCACTTTGGTAAGCCAGTTGCATCTTTTCCAATAATATCTAATTATCTCCTAACTAGACCACTGCAATGTACTTTATGGGGTGTGAACTTCACAATTAGTATAAAACGTAGTGGTCAGATTACTACCAGATATGTCTTTTAGAGTGCAGGCTTACAAGAATTGCATTGGCTTCCAATCTATCTTCCAAGTTCGATTCAAGATGCTGGTTTTCACCCACAAAGCTCTACAACAATTTGGGACAAAAATATCTGAAAAACCTTCTGTTCTCTTGTAATCCTGTCTGAAATCTAAGAGCATCTATAGATGTCCAGTTGCATGTCCCACTAGGCCATGAGGCAAGGATGGTGGTCTACATGGTAGTGCTTTCTCTATAGCAGCAACTTGACCATGGGACTCCATCCCAAGGGAGGTAGCAAAGATTGTGCTATTTCACTTAGCTCTTGGCTCTTAAAATTTAAATCAAAGATGGTGACTGTTTTTAATTGTTTGAATTTATGTAAGTTTTTTAAATAAAAAACAATGATCTTTTTTTAAAAAAATTGTGATGAGTGTAAGATTGTGTACTAAAATATGACCTTCAGTGGTATTAATGATGTGTGTGTGTTTTATTGTAATCTCTTCATTTTATTTTACTTACATGGTTTCATAGAATCATCATCAACTTGTTTCTCTGCTTGTTTCTTTTTCAAATGTATGATCCTTTCCACAAGATAGAGCAGTCGACCTGTAATTGTTAAATCACTGTTTCCATCCAGGTATCCATCTTCATCTAGCTGAATTCCTAGCAACAAAAATTATACATTTATTAGAATCAAAAAATAGAAAATCAAAGGGAGTTTGCCAATACTTACTTCCAGAAATCATTACAAATAGTTTCTTGGGGGGAATAAATCTTGTCAGGTACTATTTCTGGACTGTCTTGTTCTGAATGGCCATTCCCAAAAGTAAGTGAAGCACTGCCATGGTTTCATATGATGAGATGAACTGCCAACATCTTGGATTTAGAAAACATAAGAGAAAGGCCAAGCATGCAGGGGTAGGTACCGGGTCAGCCCAAAATCAAAATGGGGTTTCAATATTTAATTGTGCCTTTATTTTTTGTTTTTAATTTATAACACCATTGCGTCAGATGCAGTATATATATATATATAGGAAATACATTTACATGATATGTGAATAGAAATGGTTGCTTACCTGTAACCATGTTTCTTTAAGTGATCACCTGTGAATGTCACACTGATGGTACTACTGAATGCAGCCCCAACCCCCCTCCCCAGGAGGGATATAACCAGTGGGAGGGGCTGTAGCCTCAGTTCCTTTGCCACAAAGCAGCAGCAACAGAACCAAGACAGGACACAAAGCAGGGAGGATGGGCAGGGATATGTGAATTTCATAGATGACCACTCAAAGAAACACAGTTACAAGTAAGCAACCATTTCTTCTTCTTCATGGTCTCTGTGAAAATCGCACTGATGGTAGACTAGCGAGCTACTGATGTTGGATGGCAAGAGTCATGCCACCAAAGATAGAAGGATTGCTCTGCCAAAGGCCGCATGTTTCTTGGAAATAGTGTCCAGTTTGTAATGCATAACAAAGGTAAGTGGGAAAGACCAAATGGCTACCCAACACACCTTCCAGTGGAACACCCTTCAAGAAGGCAGTCAATGCAGTGACAGCTCTTGTGGAATGGTTCTTAGGTTGTACAGGTAAGTCCTTGCCAGTCAGTCAGTAAGACAGGCATATGGCCAACACAATCGATGAGGATAGTCTTTTGGAAGAGACAGGAAGGCACCTAGTAGCTTCTCGGTATTTCAAAAATAGCCTGGGTGATTTTCTTATGACAGCTGTCCTCTGGATGTAAAATGCCAGAGCTCTTCGCACATCAAGAAGGTGTAAAGACAATTCTAGTGATGTTTGGTTTCTGAAAGAAGGCTGGAAAAACTATGTCCTGCAACATATGAAAAGCAGATGTCACCTTGGGTAAAAAAAAAAAAAAGGACCTTCCGTGCACACGATGGTCTTTTCCTTGTGGAAACGGAGATAGGAATCATCTATGCGTAGAGCGCATAAATCACTAGCCCTCCGGCAGCTGCCCCAGCTGGTGTGTGGGAAAACGCCACTCTAATGGTGATGAGGAGGCCAAATCATTAGAGGAAGTGAACACAGCGATGCCCAAGGCCTCAAGCGGCATCACCAAAGGCAGCTCATGCTGCTCACTGCTCTCGTTTACCAGCAACAGAGGTGTGTGGGAGGAACACCACTGTTGTGCCAGATGGCAAAGTAGGAGACTGTGTGGTACTTTTTGGGGTTTGGGATGCTTTTTCCCCTTGTTGGGGGCTGGAAGCCTAGAGAGGACTTCAGTTTTTCTGCTGAGGAGGGTAATCTGAGCAGGCTAGATTACGAGACAGCAACCCCACGAGGTAAACATGTTTGCCCAGAGGCAGTTGGCTCAGACTCCTCACATTTCCTAGATGGAGTAGGGGAAACTAGTGTTTTCTCTCATGCCTTACAAGCTTTGGGGGCAGCAAGTCCCTCCCCCAAACAAAGTAAGCACATATCATGCCCATCTCCCTCCTGCAACTTCCCCCCTCAATAAGCATAAAGTTTAACTAAAAGGAGTAGTTATTTAGAATAGTAAGCACAGTCTGCATCAAATTTATGGAGGGAAGGGGACAAGCAATAGTCAACCAATCCAATTCAAAGCCCCAGATGACAAAACCAAAGTCAAAAACCAATCCAAGTCAAATTAACTATGAGAAAGAAACACCACAAAGCAATCTCACAGTTTGTGTCACAAGGTAAGTTGCTGAGAGATGTCAGTGGATCACAGGAACGGAGACTATAGCCCCTCCCACTGGGTATATGCCCCCTGGGGAGAGTAGGCGGGGCTGCAGCCAGAAGACTTAAAGCTTTCTATAAGATTCTGAAGCTCACTGCGCAGGCGCAAGGAAGTACCATCAGTGTGATTTTCACAGAGACCACAAAGAAGAAATCACATTGCATAAATGGTATTCCATACCATCATATGCAGTATAAATGAAACCTCTTTGGGATATTTTACACACCCTGGAGAAGGAGGGAAAGAAGTGCTGCAACAACAATGAATCCTGTCATTTGCCTTTTCATTTTTCAAGCAAACAAGCTATGTTCTTGTGGGTTTTTTCGGGCTATAGAGCCATGTTCTAGAGGCATTTCTCCTGACGTTTCGCCTGCATCTATGGCAAGCATCCTCATAGGTTGAGAAGGTCTCCTCACACTATTCCCGCATGGCTCGATGATGCTTGCCATAGATGCAGGCGAAACGTCAGGAGAGAATGCCTCTAGAACATGGCTCTATAGCCCGAAAAAACCCACAAGAACCTAGTGATTCCAGCCATGAAAGCCTTCGACAATACATTAAACAAGCTATGGTTTTCTGTCAGAACAACTATTCCAAAACAAAGCCCAGGAGATTTTTTTTTAAAAAAATGCTGCTATCCTGTCATGACTGCCAGTTACTGTATATACATTTTAGTCAAAAGAATAGCCCCAAACAACTTAAGAAGCCTTATGTATGAGACCATTTGTGTGGTGCACTTTAAATTGTATGTAAAAAGGAGTTTTCTGCGCAAGAGTAACAAAACGCAACACCTTAGACCATTCCTGGAGGACTAAAAGACACAACAAATCCCTCTACTATTTACCGTGACAGCACTTTTGACTTTTTAAAGTATCTGGTGGGAAAATGGTGGCAGCACACTGCTTTTCCCACTCCACAGAATGATTCTCTACTTATCCACAGGTCACATCCTTTTAGCACAGGATTTTCCACTGAACATTTACTTAGAATGAGCTGCCTGTATGTTTGTCAACAAAGGAGCACTAGACTGAAACTGAAATAAGTGTCCAAGGACTGGCATACAGATGCCCATATGTTGTATCTGATGCTCTGCAATACTCATAATGCCATCTCAAAATGTTATTAATGCATATATATGTTTCCTTACAATTAATTCATACTATGTGGTAATGATCTCAATTATTTTATTTCATCAAATAAAAAGTGTTATATCTATTGGGTAATATGCCTTGATTTATTTGTTGAGATTGTTTTCTTTTAGCTTTCAGTGGGAAATTGGAGAAAATAATACACAATGACAAATTACCACAATGTGCCATCAAATCTTCGTGAAAATCCAGGAGATGATCCCTTATTTCTTCAGGACAAGGACAATCATTTTTGTCATCTTTAAAATTCAGCAGCATATTAATCTTCAAAAGAAACAAAAATGATGAATTTATTTTAAATCATGTTAACAGGCTGATTAATAAGTTATCAGAAAATATTTCATGACAATCGTACTATGCTCTTATTGAATACTCTGTAATTGTTATTGACCATTTAAAGGGATTTATAATTACTTTTGATGGTTGTGGTGATATATGCAGAACTGAATTGGGTATGTTTATCGCAGTCTTCAAATAATGCTGTTGGATAGAAATGAAGCAGGCCCTCCACCTGCAGGCTTTGCTGTGCAAAAACTAGGTGATCACAGTTGTTATCAGTAACCATAACTACAGTTTAAAATGTAAAGCTAGATCCTACCCTTGTCAATTAGACCATTAAAACTTTTCAACCATTACATCAAATACATATTTGATCAGACTATGATAGGACCAGATGGGTTCATAGAAGGGAAAGATAAAGTGAAGGGTTTTTTTTTTCTTTCTTTCTTTTTATGGTCATGGTTCTCAAGCTGGCTTTCTATTACAGCGTATGTGAAATTGAGGCTCATTCTCTATAGAGAATGGCAATGGGGAAAATGCCTTTTCCCACAGGAATACTGATTCCCTGTGTAACCACTATGATGCCAGAGAGGGGTGCAATGATACAACTTTTCCCTTTTTTCTCTGCATTGTGGACTCTTCTCTACTTCAGCCTGGAAGATAATTATGGGACTGGGAACTTAATAGAGGGGGAAATTTTGGAAAAGGCTTGCCATTAAAGGTGGCTTATAAAACTATACAAATAATTGGGAGGCTTTAGAATTATGGTTTGAAGATTTTAAGAGCTCCATAGTGTTTTGCTTGGAGGAGATTTGCTACTTCTCTAATATTGGCTGTTCCTACGACTTCATCTCACACAATAAAATCAGTGTTTCTAAACATTTAAGAAATGGCAACTCATTGTGCCCTTCACATGATGCAAGCTGCAACTGTGAGGGTGAGGTCCTTTGCAGTTTTTTAAATTTTCCAATGATTCCTGAGTCAATTGGCAAGTGACTTATTTTTAAATTACTCACATAGAGATATGCAAAACAGCCAATTTCCTGAAATGATGTTAATCACTGTTACCTGATTTTGTTCCCTGCTTAAAATGCTGATGTTGTGTGTGGGAGGAGCCAAAATGCTCATTTCCCCAGATTGCTAATGCAGAAGCACTTCTGACTTTTTTAAGTATCTGGCGGGAAAATGTTGGCAGCACACTGCTTTTCCCACTCCACAGAATGATTCTCTACTTATCCACAGGTCACATCCTTTTAGCACAGGATTTTCCATTGAACATTTTCTCAGAATGAGCTGCCTGTATGTTAGTCAACAAAGGAGCACTAGACTGAAAGTGAAATAAGTGGCTCGGGGAAAGGGATAATTTAAAACCACTTCCTAGGATTGCCAATGCAAAGGCTCTGGGAAATATGAAGGTTAGTTTGAAATGGCTACCTACGATCTGAGGTGATGCTTTCCAAAAAAACAGAAAGAATCGAAACCCTGGAGGGACAATAGGAGAAAATCTCAGTGCAAACTTCCTCAGGGAAAGTGCTTCCTTAAGAAAGCTGCTTCTGTTTCAGCCAAGAGTCTTGAGTGTAAACAATCCCAATGCCACCTTAAGAAAGTGGAAGAGGCTTGGGTACAAACAACCCTAGTGCCACCTTTAAAAGGGTGCTTCTGTTTCAGTCTAAGGGCTTTGAAAGCAGTGCTGTCTTAAAGGATGCCTGATTTTAAAAGTGTGCTGGTATTCTTGAAATGGGAGGAGTCATCACCTGCCCATGTGAAGGGAATTAAACGGATGGCTGAGTTAGAAACTGAAGGAGGCGATCTCAGTGTGATAGGAGGGAGTAAATTCTTCATCTTCGTTAAATACAGAACCCCATGAAACTCCACCCTTTTCCCCACTTTTCCCCAGCTCACTTTGATGAAATCCCTAGTCTTCTATTACTACTACAACTACAAGACTAAACATTCTGAAATATAATTTAAAATTATTTTAAATGTCTAGTAAAGAATTATTGTTACTCAAAAGCACCATTGCAACTATTAAAATAACACATTTTAAAAGATTTTTTAACAAAATAGGTGTAACACTTTGATTATTAGGAATTATTTCCAACCATACATATAGGCTTTCACAATGAAAGGAAAAGCCAGAATTCCATCTGAAATGAATCCAGAACTACTGAGATCCATAAAAATTTTGTAGAATTTATCTAAATAAAGCAGTGTGTTCAACTAAAAAGTAGTCAGAAAGCCAAAATTTATGAGAAAAATACCTTTAAAAATACAATTTCCAAACTGCATGGAGTAACGTAACAAAAATTACCAACTGCTATAATTATTCCAGCTTGATAAGCTTTGTTACAATACCAGCAAGACAAACCAAAGGATACAACTTGTTGCAGTGCCCAAGACTTTTTCCTCTTTTTATTTTTTAATGGTACTTTTTGTATTTGAAAAAAAAAATTATACATAACCATACGTTTTTTCCTTTTTCATTCCTCTTTTCCTCCCCCCCCCCTTTTTAAAGATATTCTTTATTCCAATACTCTAATACTAAATCTTAGTTCTAATATTAACAGAGAGTTTCAAATGCTTCCCTCTTACAAAAATACCCTGGTAGGCGTTTGTACATTCAAATAAGGAACAATATAGTTTCAAACACACATAAAGGGCAAGACGAGTATCTTAATATGTGTATAACAGTTTTAATAAACAGTGTATAATTAAAACTGTTATCTGTGTCAAAGTATACCTGTTCCTGTGGTGGAGAACGGAATTCTTTTGTTTTCTTGGCTGTCAGTGCAGCAGACATATTTAATGCTTGCATGACTTCATTGTATCGAAAACGCTGATTCTCCTGAAGTTTTGCTACAAAGTCATCTGAAAATGCTACAATGGCTTCTATCCGGTGGCGGATCTGACAGTCACAAAGGTACTGAAGTAAATGACACATCTGAAAAGGCATGGATAAAGAAAATGTTTATAGCACAGATAATGTAACCATATGTAACTATTTCTTTTTTAAAAAAACAATTTACATATGTAAATTAAAACCAGAAACAACATTTTTCCCTTTCAGTATTAGTAAAATATATGACTACAATGAATAAGTTCCTGTACTGGATTTCCACATGCACACATATAAACATAAATGTGGGGAAATCGACTGGAATATATTTCCAGCACTTGTAACAGTCAGGGAAGGGAATGAAAATCCTCATTCTTTTCTTAGTAACCACACATGAATTTGCTCTTTTGTTCTTGCCACCTTTCTGTCTTAACATTCTGTTGTCTCCTATATTTAATAGTGAAAAAATTAACTCTCAAATTTTAAAAAAAAAATCATTTAAATTTTGAAAGTTTATTATTCAAAAGATTTTTTTCTCTTAAGAAATAAATGCCATGCCAAATATTCATAGGTATTTTCACCAGAGCTAGGTTTTCAAAAGCAATAAACATTCAGACTTTAATCTGGAAATTAAGATTAATACAGAAAGTAATACTGAATTTCAACAGAATCTCTATTAATAGAAATAATATTCTCTACACAGAAAGTTCTGTATTCTACAAAGAATTTCTTGCTCTTGGTGGGATATAAATATGTGTGTCTTTTGTGCAGAGTAAGTCCAGAACTTTAAATAAACTTTAAAAAGGATGGTTGCAGTGGGACAAAAATGGCTAGAAGAAAGTGATTAATTGGATCCCTAAACAGCTGTAGTCACATACAGTATGTCACCCATATTCATAATGAAGATATTCCAAGATCCCGTAATGGTTACCTGAAACTATGGATTGTAGCAAACCCTATTATTTTGACTCTACTTGGGCTGGAAGCATACCTAGAGATGTCCACAAACATTCCAAGGGGTGGGGGTTGAAGTGTTGGTCAATGAAACCATGGAAATTAAATCTGTGGATAAAGGGGCCATAATATATATTTACACATGACTTGCCACAGCATAATTTGAATGGGGAAGAACATTAAGCTATATAACACCATTGTGAGATAACTGGAGAGGTGAGATAATATAGGCGAATCCATCTTGACAACCTAAATTTACTATGTCTCCACCTCTAACATTTTTTTTTTAATATTCTGTAATGGAAAATGTTTCCAGGCTGGAACCAAAGCTAGTTCTGTGTAGGTCACACCCCCATTGGAACTGCTTGGTAGCCATGAAGAATAACAACTAAGCGACATATAGAATGGCTACAACTTCCAATTTAATGCTTATCTATCTGAGATTGCTATGTAACTTGTCAATTCTTTTTAATATATAATTTGAAAAATAGTAAAAATATATGGAAACAGGAAAAAAATCATAAAATGTTATTTAGATAAATTTACCTGTAGTTTCACAGGCTCAGGAAGTTTCATTTGAAGAAGTCCTTCTGCTGGGACCATCTCTCCTCCTTCTGAATTTAATCCTTCTGTGATTGGTTGTTTCACTAGTATTCTAGTCTCATTTTCATGGCCTGTATCTTCCTTAAAGACACTCGGTTCAATCAGCTGCAAAATATGCTTCAGGTCTCCGTTATGGAAAATTCCCATTATAAGTAGTGTGTAAAAAAGCTTGATCAAAGGAACAAACAGGAACTCTGTGGTGCCACCAACTGGATCTCGGACATGAAGACTTCCCTCTTGAACTGCCTCTGTGAGCATCTCTATTGTTTTGGCCTTTAAAATTTCCAAAGGAAATTCAGGACTATACTGGTAGCATTCATTGTTAATTCTTACAAAACTAGGAGAGGAAAACTGCATTCTGGGCCGCAAAGAAGTGCTGAGTCCAATGCCAGGTAGACCATGTTTTTTGTTTTCATCAGGAAACAAAGTAATGCTTTTCGTTTCATTTGTCATTGGAACAATAAATTCATTGTTCATCATAAGCCTTGCCGTCGCATAAGTATTAAGGTGAATATCAATAAGAAGATCATAAAAACCTGTACGTAATAAGCCTGGCATATACTTGTTCTCAATTGCATACAGAAGCTGAGATTCATCAACATGGCTGCACATGGCATGGGCAACTCGGTTGTTACCAAGAGCACAGACAGCTGAGTACAAACGAAGAGTGTGGTAGTGAAACCTCAATAATTCTTCTTGTTCTGACAACTCTAAAATATCTATAGACCTGTTAAGAAGAAAACAAAACAGAATATTACAAATCGCTATCTAGGATATATAGGAAAATGATGAAGAGGAGACTATATCTTGGTGTTCGTCAACTAACACAGATATCAAGACTGGTGCTTGGACATATAGCAATATTAAGGATACTATTAACACAAGTGTAATCTACAATAGTGTTGTACTATGGATTGCTCCTGTTCAGGTTTGCAGCTGCTCTGCTTCATTCTCCTTTCACTCAGAGACAGCAGTTGATGAGCAAGCACTCTGAACACCCAGAACATAGTCAGATCCAGAATGTTTGAAGATCCTAAGATTTTGCATCTAAAATCTTTTTTGTATGTCTTGAATAGGTTTCCTTTTAAGCCAGGGCTTGGAATTGAATGTCTGAGATGTTGTTGGGCTTCAATGTCCAATATCTGGGATATTGGAAGTGACTCCAACATCTAGAGGGCCACATTGTTCTTACACCTGCTATAAGGCATGTACTATGTTCTCTATTCTGTATGGCTAATGCTACCCTAAATACTAGGCTTGGTTGATCCAAAAACAAAGGTTCAAAACTCGCTTTGGATGTAGGGGACAGTGTTGGTTAGATTCAGAATTGATTTCCGAATTTTTCCCAAAAAAATCGGAACTTTCTGAAATTTCCAAAACTTCTGAATCACGTTGTTAATGGCGGACATGATTGCGCAATACATGAAAAACAGATTTAGGAACACTTTAGGAAGGATATTCTTGTCTATATGGGATTTGTAGTGTCTTTTCTGACAACCAACAGACAGGAAACAAAAAAACAAACAGAGCAGAGAGAGCCCTATAGGGGCCCTGGAAGGTGATTTCACAACTTTAGGAAGGAGAGTTTGTGTTCAAATAGGGCTTGAATTGATGGAAAATCTAGTTCTATTGAGGTAAAACACAGAGGATAGAGAGAGCTGCTACAATGCTGGGGCTTTTACAAACGTTGGAGGGCTTTGGTTCCTCCATGCTGCTTCTTCCACCCACACACCCAATACCCAAGTTACAACGCTGGGGCTTTTTCAAACATTGAAATGCTTTGTTTCCTCCGTACTGTTCTTTCATGCCATGCCATGCCATGCCACACACACCCCAATATTACCCACGTGTGGCCCACCTGTCCCAAACCCCAATAGCAACAACACACAAGCGGCTACAAGGCAGGTAGCCAGGCAGGCAACAGCCCTTCTCCTGTCCTGGTTCTCTGCTGCCCTGCTCTCCCTCCACCCCAACAGCTACAACACACAAGCGGCTGCAAGGCAGCCAGGCAAGCAACAGCCCTTCTCTGCTTGCCCTGCTCTTCTTCCAACTGCTCTTCTTCCAATCTCCCTTCACAACCTCCCTTCCCTTTCTCTTTCCCTTTCCCTTTTCCCTTCCCTTCCCGGGCTCACAATGAGCCTCTGAGTCTTGTGCTGCCATTTATATAGCGCAATGGCTGCCGTGCCTAAACCCCTCCCCTCCCCAAAACTTCTCCCCTTATTGGCTGGGAGGCAAGGAGCCTCCCAGCATGCAAACTGCTTGCCTCCAAATACTGACTCACTTCCGACTCACTTCCTGAGTCGTATCAAAAATGGTGAGGGAAGCTTCAAAGAGGCTTTAAAAAAATAACTTCGAAATCTCTTTCAAAAGGGTATCTTTTCTGACTTTATTCCGAATTACGAGTATTCTGATGAAACCTAACCATGCCTACTAAAGAATAGGCATTTGGAGGAAAAGTTCTGTTAATATTCTGTGGCAAAATTAAGAAAACTGGTAGCTTTACATGATATCTAGAGAGCACCTTTAGATATGCCTCAATATTCAAGTAAGCTCATTAAGACTCCTAGCAGTTCTACTTTGAAGAACAGCTATGACATGGAGAAATGCTTTGCAAACTCCAGGTTTTGAAGATCAAAAGACCTTCCAGGAATGATTTTCTCTCACAGTGCTCTACAGGCTAATGCTTTGCAACAACCCAGTCTTATATTGAACAAAAATACTTTTCATCACTCTTTGCTAAAAAGAGCACTCAGTTCAAGAGTCATTTGGATTGAGCATGCAGAACCAAATATAGTCTGGTCATGCAGACCCAAAGAAAGGCTTGCTTTGGTCTCATCCATCAGCCAGTGGAATAAGGGCTATAGATGTATATATACGTAGAAATCTTGTTGTTATTATTAGTTTGGTTTCACACACTACTGTTACTGACTGGTGTTTTTTGAATGATTATGAGTGAATTTGATTCTTTCCACAAATCTAGAAATTAGTTATGTATCATCAGATCATGTGGTACATTTCAAGTAGTTTCACTCCATATAACTGTGCTGTCATTACTATTTATGTCATTTCACTTAGATATTTCATTAGACTACTTAAAAATACTCTCAGAGTATATATTACCACAGGAATAATGACTGTTGCTACTTTTCTTGTTGCTGCTGTTATTTTTACAAGTGTTATGAGGCTCTTTAACAAGCAGTTAAAAAGTAGGGTATAAAAATTTCAAACTAAGTAAGACAATATAGCAAAAATAAAGTTGTCTCCATAAATATGGACACTTAAATGCCAAGATCTTATTTCACTTTCATTTGTGAATATAAGCTAAGGAATACCTGTTTTCCTCTGGGATATGAAGGGACATGAACTGTAAAGGCTCCAGGCACTGTACCGACCAGCCTTGTCGCTCATTGACACGGGATATATCAACCTTCAGGAAATGGTTTGGCACTCTACTCCAAAGCACATGCGTCAGAAACTGAACATGGAGACGAGGAGGGCACTGGGGAATGGGGTTTTTATGCTCACTTTTGAATAAGCCAGCTGACAATGGCATGACATTCTGGAAAGACAAAACAAACAGAGACAGAACTAAGCAGTTGTCAATATACATTTCCAATTTGCATAAATAAATTGTGCATTACATATTACATAAATGATTCTGAGAAAAGTACAGATCACTTTCCTTTGTAAACTATGTCAAACTAAAAAGAGCTGATAGTGGTGGCATCGATTGAAAGAAAATTCAAATATTTTACGTATGAGACTTCCTAGTAAGCAGTTTTTGCCACTCTCTTGGTTATCTACAAAGTCAAATAAATTAGGCTGACATTGAACAAGCTGCTGAAGAGATATATGGGATCTCCATGGTCTCCACTAAAAACAGAGGAACAATTATATGTACATTTTCTAATACTGATTTGAAAAAATGTTTGTTTAAAAAAAACTCCACTTTTTGTTCTAAATTTAATAGCCTAGCACAGGAAAAAGTTTAAAATGTTACCTTTATTCTTCCCAACTCAAACTGGAAAACATTAGGGCTTGTAGCTTGTGCAAATACCGCAGGAAATAGTTTAGTGCTTGGTTCAACCTAAATCATGAGCACACAGAAATGTATAATCATTCAAGATGTTAAGTGCATGAAACAAACAATTTTAAATATGAAATCTGTGCAAATGAATATTTTTGGTTAATGAATCATTTTAATTCTATCTTATGAAGGAATAATTACCTAAATATAAATACCTGATAATAGGTGCTTAACTCTTTGCCGTTCGTTGTGAAGGAGAGAAGGCCAGTTGCAGCATCTATCAAGCAACCAATCTCTAATCCATTGTTATTCCGTCCTTGTCCTGGACTCATGCTTTCTCCTGCACATACCATATAGCAATTGCTTCGTTTGATACTGCATTTCAAAAGATTGACAGTATGTGAGATACAATGGTAGACTATTGCAACAAACCAAGATCCAAAGATCTACTGGACTCTACTAGACATTGCTAACAAGTAGATATCTTTGCAGAACTAGTGAATTGTGTCTTGGTTTTTTACACATCCAGTGAAATGTATAAAGAGAGAACTTTTGTTTCTTCATTCAAATTGATAACCATAAGGAACAGTGTCAGGTATACTTTGCATACCTATTTCTAAGGAGTCACGTCCTTCCTCCTTTTTAGCTTTGTGACAGACATTTTATCTATAAGAATGAAAGACAGTGTCTTTGTGTGAGCGGGGAAGGCACACCTACACTGACTGCTTAGTGCAAAAAGCTGGCGAACCAGCTCCATGGCATCTAAACAATGAATGGAGCTGATCCAGGTTAACATGGGTAAAGCTTCTTAATGTGGGTTTGAACATGTTAGCCAAGTTTGTGGGTTGCTCCAAATTCTTCCCCAGAATCTGGAACAAAGCATGACTTTGGATCCATAATTGCAAACAGTGATTCCAAGACAGAACCAGCAACAACTGTACACCCTGCCATCCTGTTTTCCCTGGGATTGGGTGTATACATGAAGGCACTCATCTCCTTGTTGCAGTGGCCAGTAGGAACAACATGAGTCATGTTGTTCACTTGTCAATAGAGTGAAGCTGTTTGGAATGATGGGGCAAGTGAAGAAGTGATGGGGCACCATATTCCCATAATGAGGAGAATGGGAAGGCATGGTAAGGATGGCTGACTTCCTTTTGCCTCCTTAGTAGCTGGAGCAGGGTGGGGGCAGTCTAAACCATCCCAGGTCCAGGTTACACTACTCCCCAGCTGCTATGGCCCTAGAATCCATCTTGGGAAGCATAACTCACCAAGCTTTCCTCAACTTACTCATTCATAGGGACAAGACAACCCATAACATTACTGCAGGGAAGCTGGCTATATTAGAAAAGCATGTATAGCATAATAAACATGGCTAACAGAGACTAATGCATAACACTTGTAGACACACATTGATCTCTGCTAAGGGATTGTATGACCCATGGATACAAGGGACTGCTCAGTCTCCATATCCACAAAACACTCCATTTGTTGCTACACCATTGTGCAATAACACCTTGGACTTTGGTCTCTATGTACATTTTTACAACATAAACAGAAAGATTCTAAATGCTACAGGGGAATTGTTGGTCTCAGGTGAATTCAATTGAATGTATATAAAGATTTACACATCAGTCCTTTTCATTCCGTTAGATTGGTGCTCTGCTGTATTATATTATTATTTATTTATTTTTATCCTGCTTTTCTCCCATGGGAGGGATTACATTACCCACCTATGTAAACTGATATTTATATTTTGATCATAGTTGACACTATGCTGAACAAATGAAAAATATAGATCTTCAGTAGCTAATAATTTTAAAAACATCAAAAACCTTACAAAAACCCATTATTATTAAAATACTAAACATCAGTAATGGCATTAATCATAACAGTTTTCAAACGACATATGCAAGGATTTCACAAAACATACCTCTCATGAACTTTTCCTTTATCATCTCCTAGGGTTACCATAACAGTGCGGACTCTGTCCAAATCAAAGTTTGTGTCATACTGATGGAAATCAGATGTAATCCAGCCCACCCAGACATTGGCAGGTTCTTGTCCCGGGAAGATCCGCACAGAATAATAATACTGTAAAGAGATTTTTAAAAACATCCATATTAACATTTTATCATAATTCTAAGTAAAATTCTTACCAAAATAATTTTGACACTTCTTCTCAACGAATATAAAATTAAATATCAACAACTCAATCAAAGCTGTGGTTACATTTCCATTTTTATAATTCTGGTTTGGTTTATTAGAACAAATCTGAAATTTTAATTGTTTTCCCAATTTAATTAATTGCTTGACCTACAGTAGTTGTACAGTGCCACTCATTGTATCTTAGGGTACATCTACACTGCCACTGCTCAATGCTGTGGAAGCATGGGATTTGAAATTTGGTAAGGCACGAACAGTCTTTGGCAAAGAAGGCTAAAGACCTTGTAAAACTGTAAATCCCATAGCTCCATAGCACAGAGTCATAGCAATTAACTTTACACCAAACAGCATTAATTCTACAGTATAGATGCACACTTAATTTACTCCTTAAAACTTGATATCTGTAGCTTGAGGCAATGGCCTCATGCTGTCTAGTGACAGAGCCAGCTCTGTAATGCTGAACAATAATGTTCTCAGAATATGTCTATAAATTTCAAACTGTGACTCAAGTACTTTGCCAAAAAATGATATTTTTTTCAGAGAATGCACAGAATATAAATATTAATACTAAATATGCATACTGTGGAAGTTTGCATTAAGTAATCATAATCATCTCTTTCATCTGCTAGGACATCTTCAGTGAGCCTTGTGGAGTGGCTTGTGCTGTAGTCTGGCTTCGTTCTTCTCAGCATAAATCTGTAACATATTAAAATACAGGAGACACAACAAATCACAATCTTTGTAATAGAAACTCTTTATGCAGTTATTCAACCGGAAAGTGGGAAACTCTTTTTGTAAACAAAATTATTTAAAAGCCAAGCTCTCAGTTTAATTATACATTTGTCATAAAGCCCCAGAATAATGTACTATTACAACTTCAGGCTGCTCTCCAAATAACTAAAAAGATCTGAGTAGTAGAGTCATTTGAAGTAAGGCACTAATAGTTCAGTTTATAAAGTAGGCACTAACTTCTATGCCTACATGACTGCTGCAAATCAACAAATACTATCTGATACATAGGATGCATTTAGCTGTAGAATGAATGCATTTTGACACCACATTAACTACCATAGCCTAATACTCTGGAATCGTGAGGGTTGTGGAAATGGGGCCACAAAGTGGAGTCCACGACATGCGAGTGTGGAGAAGAGCAAACCACAGACCACCTATCACAATGCAGTCTGAGCCCTGCCACATGCACAATAAGGAGGACCTCCTTATCGCAACACCAGAGGCACTCCAAGTAGCCAGCTACTGGTCAAAGGACATTTAATATAATGTCAAGATTTTAAACTTTGTGTTTTTTTTTAATACATTACAACTGTGCTCTTGGTTCGCTCCTGATATAAACAAATATGAGGGTTGTAGTTTTACATGATTTTAACCTTATCTGCCAAAGAGTGCTGTTGCCTCACCAAATTACAAATCCAGGGATCCCACAGAATTGAGCTAAAGAGGTGCCAGGCCTCATTTATTCTACAGTGCAGAAAATTCACCCCGAGAGTCAAGAATCTTCATTAAATCTGCCATCATTTGCTTGATGCCATGAGGCATGTTGAAGAGCATGGGTTTCTTCTTAAAGCAACATTTGAATATGATGCTAATGGCACATCTTGTGAAGGGCAGCAAGTGCAGATCTACTGGATCAGAGACTATGTTTCTGGACTTTGGGTGAATATGTGGAATTGTAGATAAAACTGAACCCTATTGTTGAAATGAAGAACTTCTGACCCAAGAATGCCATAGAGTCATGCTAGAATACATTGTCATATTTACAACAGCATGTTACTGAAGTTGAAAAATACAGTGAAATGTATGTTATTTGAAGATTTGTGGGCGTTATATTGCTTGTTCTACCAGTTATTGCAGTACCCTTTGTAGGTCCTAAAAACATGCATCTTATTCCTAAAGCACTTTTTATTGATTGTTGTTTTTATAAATGGTAATTATTATTTTTTTACTTTATTTTTACCCCGCTCTTCTCACCCCAAAGGGGGACTCAGAGTACTTTACAGTTTTTGGCAAACATTCAATGCCACCATTATACAAAAAAAAACAACAACAATACATCAATAAAATCATTAAACATATACATTACAATTAAATCCATTTAAGTCATGCAACCAAATCACCAATCCTGAAGTCATTATCCTGATTATTTCCTATGTCAGGTCTGTGAGGGTCTATTGCACTTCAATTTCTATTTGCCAAAAGCCTATTGAGTTCATTTAAAATCAATTGTTCAATTGTTTTTAAATACATTTTGTACATTCCTATTTCTTTTTTATGTGTATATGAATTTTAATCTATGAATTTTAAATGATTTTATTCATTGTATTTCATTTCCATGTTGTACCTTGCCTCAAGCCTTGGGAAGAGGCAGGTAATAAATGAAGTGTGTCATCATCATTGGAAACCTAAAAAGACATGAGAAATTCAAAGAGCTAACAAGAGTAAATCTGGGAATTTGGAAATTTCCAGTTCTTCTCTTCAAGGCTTCAGGGTTTATAGAGAAATGGGACAGATTTTTTTTTTCAAATCAGATATTCCTGCCTATATACAACATTCACATCTAAATAGATATAGAGGTTTACACCACCACCCCCAATCCCCCCCCACCAACGAATTCACCTTTGCTTGAGGCGTGAAGGTTTTTCTTGCGTATAGTCTTTATGGTTATTGAATTCTGCCTTTGCCACTTCTTTTTCGACACGATCAGATACAAGATGGCCATGAGCAGTCTTCATAAGGACTTCAAAGTCAGAATCTGCATCAAAATCATCCATGTCATTCTTTGGGCCAAAAAGATTGGAATTTGGCACTCCTCCTCCAGGCATTTTAGCAAAGACTTCTGCACACTCTATGGGCATGCTGAGACGATAGAACATGATATCTGTTTTGCTATTTTGAGATCCAAATGACTTCTGAGTAACTTTTAAGCATGGTGAGCTGTCTGCAGTTCCATCTATGCTGGTAACCTAAGAAATGCAAAAACTAAAATGTAAAATTAATGACAAATGTAAAATTAAATGCATTTTATTTATATTTACAGATTTTTAATAGTATACAATTGATTAACCACTAAAATATTAGCATTTCATTAATGTAGTTTGTAAAGTTAACAGAGTAACATTACTGCTGATAAAAAATGCCCACAAAACCATACTTCACCATCCAAAAAGAAAATGTAAAGTACAGTGTTCCCTCGCTGCTTTGCGGTTCATTTACTGTGGACTCAGTGTTTCACAGGTTTCCCTGTGCCCTCATAGCCATCCTCCTCCTCCTCACCTTCCCTCCCTCCCTTCTTGCCTTCCTTCCTCCACCATAGTGCCAGAGGGACCTTCCTTTTTCCACCATTGTGCCAGAGGGGGCTTCTTCTTCCAAGCAGCCCTCTCGGCAGTGGGAGAAGTTCCCGCCAGTGGAGTGGGCAGCCGAGCCAATGGGAGGCGGACCCAGCTCTCCTTCAATTGGCTGGGCTGCAGAAGACCATGCCAGGCAGCGTGCCTTCCCTCCGTGGTGAACTTGGCGGTGGCGGCAGCAGCGGAGACACAGCTGCACTGGTTGGAAGCAGCTGGAAGTGGGCTTGCTTTGGGCCTTCAGCCCAATTTTTTGGCTGGGCGTGGGGCTTTTGTCTCCTGGGACTTCCTCCTTGGCTGGCCTTGGGCTCCCTCCGTCCCTGTATTGAGTATTCATGACAGGTTTGGTGCAGATCCATCATTGTTTGAGCCCACAGTGCTCTCTGGATGTAGGTGAACTACAACTCTCTTTGAATACCCCTATTTAATGGATTTTCACTTATCACAGGGGATCCTGGAACGGAACCCCCGTGATAAGTGAGGGAACACTGTATATAATTTTTTTCAGTCAAACTTTGACATTTCACTATATTAACAAACTCACTGTTTTGTAGTGTTTTACCCCTTACACCCTGTACATTCTTGGTGTGTGTGTTAATTTAAATAGTTTGTTAAGTCAATTAGACCTCAATTACAGCTAATGGGAGGGGAGAAAATGAAACACAGCACACATAAAGCACTGGATAGTATCTCATTGAGGAACATAGTCAGAATAATACATGGTGTGGTCCTAACATTTGTTAAGTTTAAAAATCCCTTTACCAAAAATGTATAAATAGGTATTTTAAAAAACACACACACACACAAATACAATTTCCTAACAATGATGTCATACTTAAAATATAGGAACATAAAATATTTACAGGCAATTCAAAGTATGACTTCCAAGACTATAACTTGTTTAGTTTTTGCATAAATCTGTCAAGACTGAGATATAAAGGTCTGAGACTAAAATCACACCCATAGGAATGGGGAGAGTATTGGAGAAGGGAAGTAATTCCAAATGGCCACAAAGTCCCATTTAAGGTTGTAACTGTGGTGAGAAATGGTCATCTGCCTAAATGAAAGGAGGCACAGTGGAACAAAATTCTGAAATGAATCTCTCACTGAATCTGATTAACAGTACAATCCTACAAAGTTGGTCAGAAGTAAATCCCATTTAACTCTGTGGAGCTTATTTCCATGTAATTAAATGTAGTATTTCAGAGAAGGTAATTGTTAGATTCACTACTACAAAATGAACTGGAGATATGTCAGACCTCAATATGTTCATGGTTTGGTGGTACTGGAAGAAACTGAGGTAATCGCTTGCTCAGCCATATGGTGATGTCCCGGTTTGTATTCACTGCAAAAGGTTCATACCCTTCTTGTAAACCACAAATGGTGAAATATTTCAGGGTGCTGACATCTTTGCCAAAGTTCATTCTGCCAACTTGTGACAATCCCAAGCTACATGCAGGTATAAAGCCTGCCAAAAAAGACAGATGCAATCAATAAATCATAAATATTCATACATTTGTCTTGGTTACTTCCTGCAACTGATGTTTTTCTACTAATCGCCCACACAACCAAGGATGAGCAACAACATTTGAAATACATAAATAATAAATAAATACACTGTATAATCATTATATTTGAATCAGAACATATCTGGGAGGGAAGTGCTGTGTTCTAGAAAACATGATGGTCCTACAAAACATGATGACCAAATAGAAAAGATATATGCATTTTTTAGCCTTGAAATTGTATGTATGGTGATGTGCAAGTTGGGAACTGTGCACTCAGACTCACTCATACTCCAATGATCCGTCTTCCTTATTGAGGGAACGGAGGGATTGTCCCACCTTGCTCTCCAGTAGGGGAAAAACACTGTGCATGAATCTATTGCAAGAACCATTATTTTACAACAATGGGGAAAAGTTTGGGGAAAAAAATGGGACTTCATTTCAGTACTAGGGATCCACAAGTAGTCCCTAAACCACAAAATATGCGCCCTGACATAGAGTGTTATTGTTGGATACAAGCATCTTCACAAAGTGATCATGTCAACTGAGTGTCCTAATCCAGGGTTTCAATATAAATAAGTTCAACCTACTGGGAAAGAATCATAGAGCTATATCCTCACTGAAACAGAGACTTGCATAAAAATGATCTCAGGATCAATTTCTAGCCTCCCTATTGTAAATATGGCTGAAGTAGTAGGTGATGTTAAAAAAGTAGGCAATAGCCAAAAGAGCAGACAAAAAAGTACACAATAACAGATGGGGAAAAATAATCCAGTGTGGTTTACAATCACTTCTGACCATGATCCTCTGATCAGAAATCTCTTCTTCATCATATGTGTGAAGACAATGTATCCACATGATAAGAAGGGGAATGCTAAAAGAAGGGAAATTGCAAGGTTTGCTCAAAAGCTGATAAAATCTTTAAAGCCAAAATAGTAAATAAAGTGTCTTTTTTTTAAAAAAAAAAGTCAAGCTTAATTTAGTGGCAACAATTTTTTTTTACTGGAAAAAGAATCTTTGGATGGTTGTTCTCTCTGTGTCTTTCCCTCATTTCAACTGTGATATTATGTTTGTGTATGTGCTGGTGTGCCTTCGAGTCTCCTGTTGATTTATGGCAACCTCACTTACAAGTTTCATAAGATTTTCTCAGGCAAGAAATATAAAAGTAATATTTTTGTGACTTTCTTCCTCTGAAATATAGCTTGCAGCACCTTGTATTCATTGGCAATCTCTTATCCAAGTACTAACCAAAACTGATCCTGTGTAGCTTCCAAGGGCAAACAGAATCTGGTGCTTTTAAAGGAGGACACAGGATTTATTGTGTTCACCTGGGTCGCTTTATTTTTTAAAAAATCCTCAACTTCCAAGATGGGTGCAATTTTTCCTTTTCTGGACAGAACTTCACCAACTTAAATTTTATTACCATATTTATTCAATTGTAAGACACTATCAATTGTAAGACACCACTAACAAGAACAAAAATACATATGATACACCTATGATTCTAAAATGCATTCCATTTTAAATATGTTTATATAGCAAAAACGTGCGTCTTAGAATTGAAGAAATACAATATCTATCCATTAAGATATACACTAACAGATATACCTTCATTAAGATAGGCATTCTCATTTATACATATTACCAGAAAGCCTGGTTAGGAAAACAAAATTACTCATAAACTTACCATCACCAACCTCAAAATCCTTGAATGCAAGCTCAGAACCTGAGTCATCAAGAAGGATTTCGCCATTGAGAGTGAACATCATAGTGCGCTCATTCAAATCAACCATACATCCCACAATATCCCCTGTCAGCCAAGAACGACCAAAATGCTCATTTCCTTGGTGCCAGCGTTGAGCCTTGATAATAAAATATGTCAAATAAAAACAGTTTAGAATTCCATGTGTCCATTATAAAACTAAAAAGTGATAAAAGAAGCACCAAACACCTCTAATCTCTCCACTGCAGGATCACATCTGGTTTTTTTAAAGTGTGGGTGGGAAATTAGGGTGATTGTCCCCCAAAATGGCACTGGCCCTTCTCTTTCCTGCAGAATGACTCTTGATTTATCCAGAGGCCATATGAAAATTCATAATTTTTGGCTCAAAAACTGCCTTTGACCCATACGCAAAGCTGATTTATGCAGTATCCTAATTGAAACAAAGTTAATTGAACAGCCTACTTCCTTCTTATTATCAACATTATCACATCTCAAAGAACTGGAAAAGGAGAACCACTTCAGGTGGGGAACTTCCCTTCTCAACATTTTAATGTAGCCTTCATAGGACTCAGTAGGTGAATGGGTACATTCCTGAACCAAGATTTCCTTCAAGTCACAGTTTTGTACTGTGACTGAGTTCTGATTATCACTATTTGTAAATGCTAAAGTCCTAGAAAAATAGGGGAGAAATGTTAAGATTTTGCAAACTTTGGGTAGTTTAACTCATACCTTGAATCCGTCAAATACAAACGCTTGTTCATCTGATCCAAGTTCTTGCTCTGGTTGACAGCCTGGCTTGGCCCAGCCAACTCTCATGTCTCCTGCTGTCACTGCTTCAAATTCAAAGTACCATTTCCCAGTTTTCACTGCATATGTCTTCTCTGTGCGGAAAATCCTAAACTTTTCCATCATAGCAGAAAACATGTCTGTTCTAGCAGCTGCAAAATTTAAAATACATTGGAATATGTACTTTAGATAAATAAGATATATGCCTAACAAAATGATGAAATCGTTTAGACTTGAAAGACTGTCGATCTGTTAAAAACAAGAAGGTGCTACCTAGCATCTCAGCAAAATAAAGTTACTAGCATGTGTCATTGCAATTGATTTCTCTTGAATTACTCCAGCTTCACCTGCATCTGTATTCTACTGACTACTTGCTTCTTTGTTTGAGAATCACAGGTGGATCAACATTTATTGATCCTCTACTCTTAAATTACTCCTTTTTTGCCCCAAACCACTCTCAGAAAACAGAGCCAAAGATTTAGAGTATTCTCCACCTCCTAGACAGTTGGATTTAAAAGTTTAATCAGGTGAATTTTTCTCTGGTTATGTTTTCTCAGTAAATGATAGTATTTTTATTCTAGAAGTCTTTCATTCTATTTTGTATTTGATGTATTAATTCCAAGGCTTTGTTTTATTTGTATGGCCTCTAACACTTGACTATTTAAATTTGATTTTTTTTACCAAATAAATGCATGTTTTATTTAACCTTTTCATTTTAAAAGGCACCTTGACAGCAACATGGCAATTATAAGGTTGAACAAGAAATTAAAAGTAATTAAAAACAAAAGATTGTTCAAGTGAGACATTTTATTTATTATTTTATTTTATTTTATTTTACAGCATTTTTACCCCACCCTTCTCAACCCCCCCCCCCCCCCGGGGGGGGGGGACTCAGAGCACCTAACAAAGGCAGCAATTTGATGCCACAATCAATAACACAGTATAAAAACGTAAATACATACAGAGTTAAAACAATAGCAATTAATTATAACCAATTATCATAACAGTCATTAAAACAATACTCAGTCCACAAACCCACTGATAGAACCATAAAACCGTATCCTCATACATATCGTCTTGCCAATCCATTTCCAGTCAAAGTGCTGTTTTATGTTTATTGTCCGAAAGCCTGGTCCCAAAACCAAGATTTTAATTTCTTCCTGAACACCAGGAGGGATGGGGTTGATCGTATTTCATTTGGAAGCATGTTCCACAGGCAGGGGGCTACAGCTGAGAAGGCCCTGTCTCTCGTCCCCATCAGCCAAATTTGCGAGGTTGGTGGGAACGAGAGCAGGGCCTTCCCGGATGATCTTAAGTTACAAGGTGGGACGTAGAAGCAGATGCGATTGGATAAGTAAGCTGGGCCAGAACCATATAGAGCTTTCTAGGTCAAAACCAGCACTTTGAATTGAACTCGGAAGTGGACAGGCAGCCAGTGGAGCTGACACAACAAGGGGGTGGTATGCTCCCTGTATGTAGCTCCTGTTAGTAATCTGGCTGCCGCCCGTTGAACTAACTGCAGTTTCCGAACTGTCTTCAAAGGCAGCCCCATGTAGAGTGCATTGCAGTAATCTATTCGGGATGTGACCAGAGTGTGGACCACTGTGGCCAGATCAGAGGTACAGGCACAGCTGGCGCACAAGTCTTAACTGTGTAAAAGCTCCCCTGGCCACCGCCAAAACCTGAGGTACCAGGCTCAGCGATGAGTCCCGGATTACTCCCAAGCTGTGAACCTGCATCTTCAGAGGGAGTGTAACCCCATCCAACACAGGTTTGTAACCCTACGCCCTGTTTGACCTTTCAACTGACCAGAAGGACCTCTGTCTTGTCAGGATTCAGTTTCAATTTGTTAGCCCTCATCCAGTCTGACACAGCAGCCAAGCACCGATTCAAAGTCTAAACAACCTCCTTAGTAACAGGTGGGAAGGAGTGGCAGATTTGGACGTCATCTGCGTACAGATAACATCTTACTCTGAAACCCCGAATGATCTCCCCCAGCAGCTTCATGTAGATGTTAAATAACATCGGGGACAGTACTGAACCCTGAGGGACTCCACAAGACAATGGTTGTGGAGTCGAACAGGTGTCACCCAATAACACCCTTTGGGACCGACACTCCAGGAAGAACTGGAGCCACCGCAGAGCAGTACCTCCCAGTTCCATTTCTGCGAGGCATCCCAGAAGGATACCGTGGTCGATGGTATCGAAGGCCGCTGAGAGGTCCAGCAGAACCAACAGGGACACACTCCCTCTGTCTAGCTCCGGGCGTAGATCATCTACTAAGGTGACCAAGGTTGTCTCAGTTCCATGTCCCAGCCTAAAGCCAGACTGTGCCGGATCAAGCTAATCGGTGTCTACCAAGAACCCCTGGAGTTGCGAGGCCACCACACGTTCCATGACATTGCCCAAGTAGGGGAGATTGGAAACCAGCCAATAGTTGACTAATTGCATGGGGTCTAGTGATGGTTTTTTCAACAGCGGTTTTATAACAGCCTGTTTTAGGCTAGCTGGAATCTTGCCCTCCTGTAAGGAGTCATTAACCACCACCTTAACCCTTAAAGTCTCATTCTCTCGCTTGCTTCTCTTGCTTCTCTTGCTTCTCTTACTGATGTGGGGGTGAGGCAGCCAGGACGCCCTCTTTTAGAAGGGTAACAATGTTAGCCTGCTACCTTAACTTCCACCCTACCCTCACCCTCCTCTTAAAAAAAAAACCCTTACTGTACTTTAAAGACTGAATAGTGAAGAAAATTTATAGGAAGAAAATCAACATATCTACAATGTAGTGGTGGAAGAGAGTGCTATTGATATCCCGAACCGGCAAATAAATGGCCTTGGAGCAAATCAAATTTTCTCTAGAAGTCAAGATGGTGAAAACGAGACTACTATACTTTGGATATATCATGAAAAGACATGGCAACAGGACATAAAGAAGGCCACATTACAAAAGGATAGATTCAGTCAAGAAATCTACAACCTAGAGTCTGCAGGAGCTCAACACAGCTTTTGATGAAAGGTGACCTGGAGGTCTCTCATCATAGGACCACCATTAGACAAGTCAATAACAATAGTAACCATCTCAAAGACTAACAGATGGTTTTATTTAATCCATAAGCTCATAAAAGAAACTTCTATAAAAACCACTAGAGGGCTCTGAGCCATTGTATATTACATTTAGATGATCATGATGAACATAATAATCTTTTACATAGACAGAAATTTTGATGCTACAGGAAAAAAAACAGCTTCTTATAGTGATAGATATTGAGTAGTGGTTTAGCTCTTAATTTTTTCTATATTGATTTTTTTTGGAGCTTCCAAGAGAGGAGATTCACCTTTCAAATAATTTCAATGTTTCCTCAGCTTAATACTGGAAAGATATAAGGTTTCCACTAACTTCTAGTTTTGCTTCTCTCTGTCTTTCTTCTGACATTTCTTCACAGTCTATATAGTCCTTGGGGTTCTCAGAAGCACTTCCAGACCCACTGAATTTCCCCACCCCCACTTTTAATGTAAAATCTTTAGACTCGTGGTAATATCCTCTCTTGCAGCGGAGGATCAATGTAAAATCAATGTAAATAGCCTGATACAAGATTCCTCAAGGATTATTTCCACAAATGACATGCACCTCCATCTCCTTACCTTTGGATATTGTTTCGCAATTGATTTCTGCCACTGTAGTTCTGCTCTTTTATCCACATATATAGGAAACCAGATATGCAGGGCCGTAGCCAGAAAAAAAATTCGGGGGGGAGGGGGTTGAAAATTGGGGGGGGTTGAAACCTGCCTCCTAGCTCATGCTGAAGCAAAGAGCACAGCAGGGGGCAGAGCAGCCTTCAATAGCCTGCAGCTCCACCCCTGTCAACCACCTCCACCAAGTCTGGCCTCCTTAATGAGAGCATTCAACACACACACCCCCAACTTGGTTGCTTCACTACATTGGCTATTGCTGCAAATAATGACAGTGTGAATAAATTGTCAATATTTGCTTGAGATAGTGCTTGCAGTTCTGGAGGACTCTTAATTTTTTGCATCTCATAGACTTAGCATGGGGATTTGGTTAACCAGTTAAAATTCATGAGTAAACCAGGTTTTTTAAAAAAATCTGAAACATTTCGGGGGGGTTGAACCTCTAAACCCCCCCCCCCCCCCCCCCCCCCCCCCCCCCCCCCCCCCCCCGGCTACAGGCCTGCAGATATGAGTTTCCAGCACACACTCCAGATAGAATAGCCCAAGGTATAGTATGCCTTATGTTTTTAGTTAATACACTATATCAAATCATTCCCAACCTCTTCTAGTCTGTACCATATTTTCATTCATTTTATCAATATGAGAAATCATGGCATGTTGCCACTTCAAAGAAATAATAGGTTTTATCTACTTCTTTAAAAAATAAAATTTCAATACCATGATCTTGATCTGGAGCCTCAAGGTTATAACCATAGCCAATAAGTGTACGAACTGCTTCTCGTAGGCTATCTTTATTTGATTTCTTAGTGCGATCATCAAGGAGTGTATAGGGTACAAGACGAGGGTTTCGACGGTTCTTCACGTCCTATAAAAAGTGAAATATAAAATAATGTGATATGTTGATATGAATTGTTACTAGTGATTTTGTGTTGTCTTTTTCCCAAAAGAAATTCCATGTTTTAGAAAATATTCCAAGGATTGATATAGGGATGATATTTTTTATCCTTACATTGTACTCTGCACACCCTTCATAGACTCCGCAGCTATTTTCACTGGGGTTTCACACTTCTGGTGGGTGGCATTTGCAGCAGATAGTGGCATAAAACATGACAGGTGACAAAGGAGAGGATGGAAAAATGAATAGAAGAGGCCCAAAATGCACTGCCTCACAATTCAGCTACTGTACATATGAAGAAAGCTGCAAAGTAAGTGACAGATTGAAGGCAAAGTGTATTGAGAGACAACCATAGATGAAAGGAGGAGTGGATAGGAGGATTAAACAAAAAAGAGATGATAGAAGTGAGGGAAGAGTCAGGAATTCAGAGTAAAAAGAAGACTTGGAGGATAGGAAATTCCAAAGATGGGTAGTAACAATGACACAGAGAGAAGGAGAACGCTTTGAAAGCTGTAAATTAAGATTAAAAAAGGGGGGGGGGGAACCAAGCAGTTGCTGAAAAAGCAGAGGTTGCCTGACCTACAAATAACAGTCATAAAATCAGGAATAATCAGTAGCTAACATACACTTTTTACATATTTTCACAAGTTACCTTTGGCCAAGAGATGACCATCTTAGATGTTTTAAAAGTAAAGAATCAAATTTCTTCTTGAAAAAAAATTGTTTTGACTATAACTAAATTGTGTATTTGTGTGATGGAAGGAGAGTTTCACTACAGTATTATGTATTCCAGATAAAATCCACTTTTCAAATGGAAAATAAAAGTCTACAGAATAAACAGTAAGTAAGAAATCATACAGGACCAACAGTAGGATTTAGAAGACCATTGAGCAGAAACCATTGGACCAGTGGTTCTCAACCTGTGGGTCCCCAGGTGTTTTGGCCTACAATTCCCAGAAATCCCAGCCAGTTTACCAGCTGTTAGGACTTCTGGGAATTGAAGGCCAAAAACATCTGGGGACCCCAGGTTGAGAACCACTGCGTTGGACCATCTATTGCTCCCAAATATTTCTGACCAAGGTCGGGTCTATGCAGCCATCAAAAACCTGGATTCACTCTGAATTGATTCCATTCAAGTATTTCTAGCAAGTTTCGTGGGTTATCGTGGGTTAAACTGACTTAGCTCCACTTCAGGCAAAATTTGCCTTCACACAAATGAACATAAATCTAATTTTCACAATAATGGGAATAAAAGCAAAGAGAAAGATATTTTTACACCACTTTATGACTCCCTGAAACCCATCTATGGAGCCTTTAGTGTCCATGGACCAAAAGTTAAAAAGCCATCACTTAGATAAAGAGCAGTTATTTGATAACATACTAATAAAAGCATGCAAGTGTATTGCTTGCCCAATGACCCAATATAGTGATCTGGGTGTCGGATTAGGGTTAGAACCCAGTTATGATTGGATACCATATGGTAAGTCAACTTGAAAGCACATAATAGACAGCCACAGTTGTTACTTTTATAATGTATTACTTTTAAATATATATGTGTGTGTGTGTATGTGCAAATGGATTGTATATTTGCATATGCCTACTGTACATATTGTTATATTGTTATAGTCATTTTAAAAATGTATATAATATCAGGCAGAAAAGGTGCATGTTTAAATTACAAATGTTCACTTTATAATATGTACAACAAAAAAAACCCAATCGATTCTATTCTAAACAATTTAAGGGGGGAAGAATTACCTTCTTTTATAATTAATGCAAAGGCATATATTTTTACTGGGCTGAAGCAGAGGAACACCACTGTAAACAACCTAACTGTTAAATACCAAGATCACCATGTTCTGCCATCCAACATGTTGTTTTCTTTTCTGCTGAGGACAAAAATAAATACAAGATGCCTTCCTTTACATTTCTTATGTCATGACAACTTCTTGACACGGCAAAGCAAAAATTGAAATTACATCCTTACAAGTTCAAATCATAGAGTGACATAACATGCAAGTATAAAGGTGCATCAAAAGATGTCAGAAGTACCATTCACTCTAAACAATGCGTTGATTAGACTAAGAAAAATTGATAATTGTTTCCTGTGTCTTCTCACTTGAAAACATCATTGTATATCTGTGATAACCCTAGAGGGTGATGCACATTTCCATCTAGTTCAGAATTATTTGTTAACTGAATGCATAAGCATTACAATACATAGAAAATTACTTAGATTAATCTCTGCATGGCATCTGCATTTCCTGGAGTAAATTTAATGCTAATCATAATGTACTGCTCATGTTACCCCAAGGAAAAAAATAATTGGCCCCATGTAAGGCACTCCGAGTTCCCACTGGGGAGATGGTGGCGGGGTATAAATAAGTTTTATTATATTATTATTAATACTTTCAGTTTTGCAGGTCATTTTTGAAATTTTGATATTAAGGATAGTGGTGGAATCCTCCTGAATTCTAACTACCATATATATTTCTGTATAAATCTAGAAAATTTATACAGAACAGGAGCGGTGCTCAGTGAGTATACAACTCCTCTGTTGTGCCCGCTCCACTGGCTGCCAGTCTGCTACCAAGCACAATTCAAAGTGCTGGCTTTAGCCTATAAAGCCCTCAACAGTTCTGGCCCTATTTATCTGTCTGAACGTATTTCTCCTTATGAACCATCTAGGAATTTAAGATCTTCTGGGGAAGCCCTGCTCTCGGTCCCGCCTTCCTCACAGGTTCAGCTATTGGGGATGAGAGACAGGGCCTTCCCAGCAGTGGCTCCTCGGGTGTGGAACGCTCTTCCCAGGGACATGAGATCGGACCCCATCCTCTTAATGTTTTGTAAAAAAGTCAAACTTGGCTATTTGAGCAGGCTTTCTCAAATGCAGTGTAGCAGACAAACCCTGATCTTGGAATGACTGGATGATGCAATCAGATACTGATTTTGGTAATGAGATGCGGAGGATCTATATTTTATTGGTTTTATTATTTAGTGAATTTTATCTATGTTAAATATTTTAAGTTTTATAGTATTGTGGGCATCGAATTGTGCCATCTTGTAAACTGCCATGAGTCGCCCTCGAGCTGAGAATAGCGGTATAGAAATATAGTAAATAAATAAATAAACAAATTATTGGCAAGAGCTTAGCCTATCCCAGGAAAATCTAAAAGAAACTCCAACCCCCTCTACTCTCTGTGCCACAGTATCACTTCTAGCCTTTCTGAATGTTTGAATAGGGAAATGGCATCAGAGATGTCTGTCCCCCTGAGGCAATAGTGATGCTTTCTCCTCTTCATATAATGACCCTCAACTTATCAATGGATCAAATCAAAATCCATTTTCCCTCAAAACCTGCCCTTGACATACATGACGTCATCTTATACATCAGTATATACGGTAGCCCTTGAAATCGCACTCATTATTTAACTCATTCCACATTTCAAATTGCTCATTTTCCCTGAAGAAACTATCCTACATTAAACTGAATATAAATATAGCTGAATCAAGATTTGTCCCTCTCATCAAAACATTTGATGATTACTATTCAGAACAGCAGTGCTGCAGTACATTTTTTCTAAATATGGCATCCATCCAGAGGAATTCAAATAAACTGCACAATTGTCAACAACTAAGTGCTTCAGAAAAGTACCCATCTATTACAAAGCTTTTATAAACTGCCACAACATACCAGCATTGTTAAAGCAGTTGTGTATATCCATGTTATGTATGTACATGACAACGAATGGGCTGTTAAAGTGGTTATTTTAAATTTTCATTTCTTGAGCATGTATCTAAAACAGTGTTCCCTAACCCAGCATTATCCAGGTTTCTTGGGCTACAACTCCTGTCCAGGACAGCAGCATTTAGGGGAAAATGTAAGTCCAACTCATATGGAAGGTACTAGGCTAAGGCTACTTCAGAGCATGCTTATAGAGTAGATATGTAAAACACAGTTGGCTTATTCTGGAAACTAAAATAACAAAATCCAATATAATAGAAACACGAAAGCTCTCTTGCTATCTGTGTATAAAAATGTATTTCATTCGCTTTTCTAAGACCAAGCACTGTTTTCTGCTTTGAACCATAATGTCAGAATGTGGGGATAAAGAAAAAATAAGAATTTTTTCACTTTATCTTTATTTTTGTATAAAATTGGAACAAATTATTGTTTGCCAACTAACTTGAAAAGAAGTGAGAGCATGTGTTTAATTTGAGAACTTTCCAATTCTCTGTGTATCTTGCTAAAACTGATCAGGTGAATTGTTCCTAAAATAAATGGTTCAAAGCATCTTAGCACATACTCCCATCAAAAGAAAATGCAAAGCCCATACTCAACAATTCCTTAATATCATGTAGTATCTTTTTGTCCCCCACCTTAATAAATCTACCCCGTATGATTGAGCTAGTCTCCATAACAGGGAGCGAGATTACACAATGGGCACCAGAGCCATAGAATGGCAATAGAATGGAAGAAGTAACAGAATGGTATCTGAGCTCCTATTTCATCTACCATCTTATTATCCTTGCTGGCTGCAGCCACATTTATTGTTTTAAATATGAGCAAGTACATGGTGCCAAATCATCTGCCTCTCCCACCCACCCACAAGCTGTTTTCCTGGTCCTGCTATCGGTCCACAACTCCCACAGAGTACCGCTTTTAATTCCAAGAAGCTGAAATGTCCAAGCTTCCTCCTCCCTCTCTCCTCTCATGTTCAGATCTTTTATACTCTATTGCTCTATTCATTTCTCTGCCTCCCTTCTCTCCTCTGCAGATTTTTTCTATTGTTGTTGCTGTTTCAAACAACAATTATTAGATTCCCTTGCTGAGATATTCTCCACTTCTATCCAGTCTTTTCCAACTAGCCTTTGTTAAAAGAGGAGATAACCTGTATTGTTTCAGCAGTGTCTTCTGCTTTGAAAAAGATCAAGTTTTACAAAATAAAGATTGTAGTTTCAAAGAGACA